AGCCCCTGTTCAACAGACCTTTGCTTACATCCTAGTACTGTATTTTACTTAGTCAATTTGTTCACTTCAAATACCTGAGTAAATTGTGACATTGGCTTAAATAGACTCCACTTAGCAAGTTAATAGAATTGCGAAAGCCAGTTAATAGGATCATTTACAGTCAAGTAACTTATACTATACCATATTAGGAAAGCACTAATGGTTCTTAAGAGCAGGAGTCTGGATCTGGAGATCAGCAATCAGTGGACCTGACTAATCGAACAAGTATATATAGTAATATTCGGGTATGGCTATAGGGAATCAGGCTGCCTGGAATAAGGAAGACTGTAGCTGCTTGAACACTGAGAAGACATTCTTATCGTAGCGTGGAATTAATCCTAGAAAAGTGGAGAACTCATCTTTCCTGATATTGAGGTAACATACTGCTATAATGGTCACTTCTCTACCTGCAGGTATCTGCAAGTTCTCCTTAATCCTTGGCTACCTCATCTCCTGTATTCATATCTGTGTATGTACCACTTGTAGACTACAACTAACCACGTAAGGAAGATACTACTAATTCTTCTTAGCAATAGGTTTGGCTCTTGCTATGAAGATTAAGTACCTAGTAGAAATAGTAGATAGCACAAGCCATTGTGGTAAGTTTTGTCCTTTTCAGAACTAATACCTTGCTTGTATTTATATAGAGATACTACTCCTGAGCTGATACCTATAAGGTATGGGGCACCCAAGATTAGTTGAAAGTTATTTGAACAGATGAATGTGCCTTCAGTGTTGAGGGAGCTCCTGGCCAGATGTGGGTAACTTGAAGAGTGGATGAAGAGTTTACAGAATTTTACATGGTTCTCAAGTTCAAAAAGCAAAAGGTGATATTGGTTTAAGCCTACTTTGTTGACTGCTGTAAGAGTCCACTGGTAATATGGGATAAGGCTAGCTAGGGTAAGACTATAATAGCCAAGGAATACCAAACTCACATTTTACCCCATCTTGATTAATTCTGAAATAATGAGTCTATTCAGACTTATAATTATATTTATATTGAACATGATATCACCTCTTCTTATCATGCTTGTACTACCATTACTGACCTGCAAGACTGTGAGTTGTATAACTACCTTCTACTTTGGCCTGCTACCTGACCTAACCTTAACCCAATTGAAGCCCTTTAGAGGTTAATAAAACCACACATTAGTAAGCTTCATCCAAGAGCTTAGAACAACAAGGACATGATCTCAGAAATCTACAATCAGTAGAATCAAATTACAGACTATGAACTTGGACAAATTCTAGACACTATGATTGATCATATTGATAATATTCTCAGTTCCAATGACGGCCATACTAAGTACTAGTTTACTCTCACACACTCTCACATACTCCTACACACTCCTTCCTATCCTCTCTTGCTTACTCTCACTTACTCTCTCATATTTCTGGTTCTTTTCACTCTCTCTCACTCTCTTATTTTCTTGTACTCTTTCATTCTCTGTCACTCTCTTTTGGTCTCTCCTAGTCACTCTCTCTTTCTCCTGCTCTTTCCCACTCTCCTCTACTCTCTCTTACCCTCTTGCTCTCTCTTACTCTCTCTGGCACTCTTACACACACTCTCTCTCTACTGCTTATTCCATTGCTCTATTCTGCTTCTTCTTGTTCTCTTTCTCTTACTCTTTAGCTCTTCTACCTTCTGGCTTTCTTGCTCTTTCTTGCTCTGTCTTGCTCTTTCTTGCTCACTCTTAGTCATTTCTTGCCCTTCTCCTTTTCCGTTTTCTTACTCTTACACACACTCTCATTACTCTTGCTTACTTTCACACTCATATTCTTACTTACTCCATCTCTCTTACACACTCTTGTACTTCTTCACTTACTTACTTGTATATACTTTCTCCTTCTGCATCTTGGAAATTGTAGTGTTAAGGCCGAAATTGGTATAGGATATAGCTGTACTTCAAGGTTGCACTGGTTCACTTATACACTAGTCCAAGGATGTGCAAGCCATGCAAATGATTCCAACCTTTTCTTTTTCTTTTTTTCCTCTACTTTTTCACTCAGCCCTCTTCCTTCACCTTACTTCTTCCCTCAATTCTTTTCTTTCATTAATTTATTACTATCTCTTATGGTTTTCATCTCTGCTCAGTACAAACTTTATCTCTCCACTTAGATTATTACTCTCTACTATATAAACCCTCACAGTCAATCATTACCTCCGCATTGAATATTTTTAATACTACTTTTGCTCATCTACTTCTTGTTGCTCCCACACTCTCAATCCAGCTCATCTCTACTCAATATCATATTTTTTCTTTTAGTGGTACTCTCTCTCTCTTTTTCTCCTATCCACATGCTAGCTTTTTTTCTCTCTTTTATTTTCTCCTCCACCCACTCACTCTTCTCCTCTCTCTCTCTTGCTCTCTCTCTTATCTTTTCCAATATACCTACTCTTCCTCTGTCTTTGTCTCTGTCTTCTGCTTCTGCTCTTCTTTCTCTTATAGCACATTTCTCTCACTATTCAATTTTCCATATTTTGCCTATATGCTAATAATCTTTCTATATGTTTTCATTTTCTGGGCTATTTTTCTACTACTTTTTTTTTTTTTTTTCAGTTTAGTATTATTAGGCCCCTTTTAATTTATCTTATATCAAGCTTTATTTCAGATAGGTTAGTGGGTGAAATGGTGCAGGCCACTGGTAGAATAGTATGGGCTATCGGTAGTATCAGGCAAAGACAGAATAATCTTTTTCTTTACTCTCTACTAGTATGAATAAGATGATGTGAAAAGGAAACAGAAGAAACAAAGAAAAATCAGTAATGTCTAGCTATAGTTATGATATGTTTAGTTTTTTAGTTCTCACTTTGGTGAATTCAATAGTTCTGATTTGGACAAAATGATAGTACATACCTGATAAGCGCCATACCACTGCTATTAAATATCAGATCCCTGCTCTGTACGATCAATTCATGGTAGACCCTTGTACCATTCTGCGTATTTGGGTTAGGGTTGTTCTGAGTTCCGGCGGGGGAGGATATATGGTGAGCAGCCAAAAAAATCTCCATTCAACAGTTAGTACCGAAACAGACTTACCAACTCCACACGGAACGAGGGGATAGTGTTCTAGAATACTAGATGTGCTTGATTGAAATACTGAATGTGGTTACAGTCGGAATCCCTAGTGATAGTTCTAACAGTTTCCCGGCTTGGTCACGACGTCGAACGAACATGCTCGGTATAGGTACCGTAATTGACTAAGGTTTCCCTTCAGTGAAACCAAGAGTAAATAGATGAGATCCAGGTGAAAATTCGAAGGTGGGAAATCTCTTTCTCGAGAACTGAAATCGTTTCATCAATCATCTCTTTCTCAAGTCCACGTAGTTCACCCCCCCCCCACTCTCTCGAGATCCTTTTGAGCTATGTATAGTACCAGGTCAAATTGTTTCTTCTGATACCCTTTTACGTCAAAAGTTGCAATCTTCACCATCCTCTCTCACAGCACAATGGCTATGAGGACCCACCAAAATTCAGCAGACCATTATTAAGCCCATGGAAAATATGGAAATTTTTGAAGAATTTCTAAAAAATTATAATGAGCTAGAGAATATGTCACTTCAGTGTGCAGTGCTTGTCAACATGTATGATATCTTTTTGTATGGAGCCCCATATGAAAACTTAGGTCATTTGACATACCAGTCAAAGCAATTGTAAATAATGCACACAGTTCTGATCCCTTGTAGTTCTGCTCTTAGAGATTTAAATGTGTGGTAATTATCAAGCTAATAGAATTATTTAAGGTGTTTTCAGGACAGTACTCAGGTAGTGTGGGGAGTTGCCTGATTGAAAATGTCTGGTTTTGGTGTAAAACTCGGGTTGGAGGAAACATTTTGACCTGGTATGGTACTATTTGTAGGGGTAGGGGGGCAATCCTCTTATCGTACAGTACAAACGGCCATAGGACTGTTGACGGTGAAACGTCGTAGCCATATCATGAAGTCATGTGTTAACAACCCCGGGTCTACAGGTATAGTCATAGCTGATAGTACGTGAGTAAATAGCTATACAAGGGTCAGGAATTTAGTCATGTTATCATACTCGAGTCCAGAGATTCCAGTGACAGGTAGTGGACATTCGTTTGGACAAAATGTACACCGACCGGCACCGACACTGTGACCACCACCGTATCATAAGTTGATTAGTCGTCACCACGGTGCTGGAGTTACCCGGCACTGCTCCCGATACAAGACCGTTGCAGTATGATAGGAAGAATCCAAGTTTGCCGAGCGATCCGGATCTCAATTCCCTCAGATTTTTCCTCTCACGTTCCTCAGCCCGGAAAACCCCTATCAGGTGAATTGGCTACTGCTGCCGTAGAGGCATTCAGTTGATAGTATGCCCCGCTCCCGCTCCCATCCTCGTTCTCGCTCCCAATCGCCTCCTCGACACCGATCCCGTCGCCCGCACAACCCCCGTGACGATCGAAGGCGACGAGGTGACCGTTCTATTGGAGACAGCGACCGGGAAAGACGGTATCGAAGAGATGAAGAGGAAGAAGAATATGAGCGACCCCATCACCGACGGGATGACTACGATGACAGACATTCAGAACGACGGCGACGACGAGACAGCAGAGACAGAGACTACACGGAGAAGCAAAGGGTAGAAGCAAGAGATTCAAAAGGCAGATCAAGAGGCCCATCATCCTCTGTCGTCTCGGATGAACGACTGGCCCGCCGAGCTGCAGCGTCGACCGCCGAGTCTGGAGCTCTCGAACCCCCGAAAGATAAAGAAGAAGCAAACTTCAATACCACCGGCCTCCTCGCCGCTGCATCAAATACTACGAATGGCGTTGTCCTTAAGTATTCTGAACCTAGCGAAGCAAGGAAACCCCCTAGCTCACAGCGCTGGCGACTTTTCGTCTTCAAAGACAAGGACATTGTTGATACTATAAGCCTTAATTCCTCATCTTGCTGGCTTATTGGGAGGGACAGGGCTGTCGTGGACTTATCAGTTGATCATCCTAGCTGTTCGAAACAGCATGCTGTCATACAATTTAGGTTTGTCACAAAGACAGGTGAGTTTGGGGATAAGGAGAGTGGGGTAAGGCCGTATTTGCTAGACTTGGAGAGTGCGAATGGGACAGGAGTTGCTGGGAAGAGGATTCCGGGGAGTCGGTATGTGGAGTTGAAGGATGGAGATTTGATTACTTTTGGGCTGAGTACTAGGTTCGTTGGGTCTTTTATATTTTCTATCTAATGTGGTGCTAACGACGGACTTAGAGAATATGTTTTGATGCTTGAGAAGGACTAGACTGGGAAAAGGGAGGAGTAAATTACAGTGAGTTCGCGTGGTGTTTATTCATTTAGCGCCAGGGAGTTATTTTCAGACCTCAAGGAACATTGTAGATCTCGTATTTTCATTGAGAAATCGTCAAAGATCCGTTCACGGAGCCCCTATCCTCATCATAATGTAAAGGCTTATTGAAGGCCGGAGATTGATCTTAAGCTACTGCGGGAAATCTACCAGTATTGTCCATATATGTTTGTGCAGGTCAACGTTTTGTGAGCATTGAGAATTGATATGACATGCTGGGAATAATAGCTTGTGTTGACCGTTGCTGTGGAAATTCTCTCTCTTGTCAACAACTTTTTGCAGCCCCCACCCAAATACAGTACTGTAGTAACATCGGTCGTTCCTCTGCATTTCTAACCAATCTGGCTATATCTGTCGCTGACTCAAAAAGGAGTACCAGATTCAAAATATTGCGTACTTGGACAAACAATCATTCCTCAAATCTAGCTCACCAGATATCGCTACTCGAGCGAGGAGCATATTTAGTCTGAACACTATCTCTCACCGCGCTAACTTCCTCCGTTGGCCACTTAGTTTAAGGTTTAAACTCCAGCATTGTTCCCCATCATTGGGGTCTTGATTCCTTCCGACAAAACTTCATCACTAGGACCCAAAATGTCTCTCGATGGGTCCGGAGGCTCACGCGGACCACTGACGGAGGCTACACCCGCTAATAATATCGCATCACATTCTCCTAGCTTATCGTCAACAAACTGTGTGGAAATCGCTTCATTGACAAGTCCCGGTCCCGATAGTTCCAGACAGGAGGCCGATGCAGGGGATATGAGTTTACCGGCAGAGCAACGCCGACATCTGTTGGAGCTGGAGAGTTCTTTTAAAATCGATTCGGATCTAGGGACCACTCCCGAAGAGGGATCCAGTTCGGTATCCGGGCGAATCGGAGATATGGGACCTCCTCCACTTCCACCGGCTGGCGTGCCTAGAAGAGGATTACAACGCATGCCTAGCAGCGTATCGAATCATCGCAAACCCAGATCCGGGGCGGCGATCCCCACTACCATCACTGGCAGCAGAGAAGACTTGCGGGGGAAGAAATTTTTGGCCGACGCGGAGGAAGCGATTTCACCTTTCGCGGATTCAAGCGCCTTTTCTCCATTGCAGACCCCTATTCCAACTAGCGAAACTGACGGCGAACCGAATTTATCCAGCAGCCCTACTCTTGCGGCGCGGGCGAGGAACAACAACAGAAGCTCTACCAGTCTAGCTAGTGCGTTTGTGCCCAACTCTTTGGATGAGCCTTCGCCAGAGGAAATCGGGCTTGCTATTGACAGACGACCCTCTACGGTTTCAGTGAGGGGTGAAGGAAATTACGGGTCATTGGGGAGTGAGGGGACGACGTCTGCTGTTAGGCCGACTAGTTCTGTGAGGGGAAGGGGTTTGTCAAGCAATTCCTCATCAAACATAGTTGGCGGATCTACATCAGGAACACATCGACGGAGACCGAAATTTTTACGCTCGCGGCAATCATCGCAGAGATCTAGTGTTTCTTCTATTGGCGATACGGGTATGGAAGCTGGGGACGACGGTGCAAGCGCAATCACTACTGCCGAGGGTGGTGGTGTCCTTTCGCGGTCTGCGAGCTTAGGATCTATTGCTTCAGGAATTACTGGAATAGCTGGTGCAGGAAGCATTCGGAGCACGGAAGGGCTGTTTGGCAACATGTCAACCGCCGCTGAGCGAGCTTTGGCACGACTTGATGAGGAGGAAAAGAATTCAAGGAAGGGTTCGGTTGCCGATGGTAATGAGGGGAGTGGCCCTAGGGATGACGCTATTGCGGAGCCCACTACCCCAAAATTCCAAAAAACGCCTCTCCCACCTACGGATACTGCCATCACTGCGCAAGTCAAATCGGTACACGTGCCCGCAACAGTAGCTAGGGAGTACCGGGCAGGGCATCTTGCACCAATGCAAACACCTGGAAGTCCATCAAAACGCGGCGGGCCAGGTGCCACACCAGCTCCAGGACAGGGTAAAAACATGACATTGAAGGAACAGAGCACTATCATCGATAGATTGCAAAAGGAGAATTTCGACCTCAAGATCAAAGTATTTTATCTCAATGACAAACTAGAAAAGCAGTCCGATGAAGGGGTTAAGGAAATGATGAAGGAAAATGTAGACATGAAAGTTAAGCTTGCTGAGGGGATGCGTGAAAGAAAGTCTCTGAAGCGGCGGATAAAGGAGCTAGAGAAGAAAATCCAAGAAATAGGCGGCGAGAAGGAAGGAAAGGAGGATGACGAAGACAATATCACTGAGCTCTGGGAACTGAAGGAGAGAGTGGAGAGATACGAGGTTGAGATCGAAGAACTTAGTCGTCGGGAGAAGGAAAGGGAAGACCGTATGAGGGAGGAAATTTCCCGAAAGGGAGCCACGGGTGGAGCCGAAGAAGTCGTTAGTTATTCATGTTCCTTGTTTTAACAATGCTAACGCGTAGTAGGGAATGCTGAGAGAATTTCTCGAAACAGAGACCGCCAGAAGGGAGAAGGTAGACATGGAAAATCGCCGCCTAAGGGAGGAAATCTGGAGAATGAAGAATGAGTCCAGCGGCCAACCTCACCTTAGCTCCCATCACAGCATAAGCACTCGTCATTCATCTACACGTCCTGTATCTGAAAGAGGTCGAGATGACAGCCGTGAAAGAGGTCTTATGAATCAACTTCGGGTTGAGAACGATGAACTCCGGAGAGAAGTCGGCGCTCAGACCAGCATGCTCACATCCCGCAATCGCGAAAAAGACCGCTTGTATCAAGAAATTGAGGATCTCAAACTCCATTTGCGCAACGGGGGGGGGTCTGGTTTGGGCATAGTCGCGGAACATGACCAGCATCAGCAACATCAAAATAGAGCTGCGTCTGTCATCAGCGACCGAATCCTTGACCGATCAGTTTCTCGCGCTGGAGGAGCTGCTAGTGTTGCTGGGACTCACGTGAGCATGTTGAGCGAGAGTGAGAGGGAGGATTTCGAGAATGTCAACGGCCAACTTCGTGATCGTATTTCTGAATTGAGACTCAAAAACCAAGAACTCCAGATTCAGATTGAAAACTACTACAGAGAAATCGACCAAAAGACAGAGGACACGGAGAGAGTCGCAGCGGAGTTTGAGGAAGAGTTACAGCTTGCTCATGCGGAAGTCCAGGAAATGCAGGCTGAGCGGAACGATGCATTAAGGATGAGAGAGGAGATTGAAATGGATTTCGATCAACTGAAGGAAGAGGCGGAGGAAGAGATCCAGAAATTAGAGGAGGAACTTGACATCAGGCTGGGCGATATTGAGAAATTAGAGGAGGACGTTAGATGCAAAGAGGAAGACTTCAAGGGCTTGCAACAAGAGATGAGGAATGTCAGTGACATTGTCGTCAGACTAGAAGATGTGCACGAAGAACATGCCGGTGAAGTACGAAGGCTGGAAGGGAAGATCGAAGATCTTCAGCGCACGCTGAGGGAGAACGAACAGGAGATGAATGTTCTCGAGGAATCTCTACGTGATGCAAATGAGAAAATTGAGAGAATGACCGTCCAGAGCGAGAGCGCCAAAGGAGAGATTGCGTTCTTGCGGGAGGAACAGGATGCAGACAAGATCAAGATCGGAGAGCTCGAAACGGTCATCAAAGGTCTCGAGAAGGCGATTGAAGAAGAGAAGGAAAAGGTCACCGATGCCAGGGAGAGGCTTGAAAGTGAAAGGAAAGATCGCGAAAAGATGGGCGATAAAAGACAGCAAGAGTGGGAGAGGAAGGTCAATGAAAAAAGCCAAGAGGTGATGAATGCTAAGGATGAGGTCAGAAGGCTGAGAAGCAAGGTTAGCAACAGAGAGGAAGAGGCTAAGCAATGGAGAGAAAGGCTTGAGGAGCTGGAAAGAGCTCTCAGGGAAGCACTTGGTGATCTTTCCGGAACTAGGACTGGGCTCTTCAAGGTATTTCCCACTTCCGAAGCCACGATGGAGGTTTCTAACAAGATGTAGTCTATTGTGAATCTGCAGAGCGAACTAGAAAGCACGCTCGAGGAGCTAGATTATACTAAAAATGAGCTTGTGGAGAAAGACCGCGTGCTTAAGGACCGGGAAAACTTACTTGAAGGCATGGTAGGTTCGATCCCGTTTCCCGGACCCCTGCTGGGGCTAACCTGTTTAGGCTCTTGAATCTCGGAAGCTCACAGACCTTCTCGATAAAGAGCGTGCTGGTCGTAAATCTGATCGAGCGGCCCTCGAAACTCTTAAAACCACCCATCATCAAACTCGCCACACAATCACCCAGCATCAAACCCAATATACAGAGCTCGAGAAGACCCGCAACAAGGAGTCAAAGTCAATTCACCAACTGGAGCAGCAGTACCGAGAGCAGCTGGCTGAACGTAATAACCTTCTCACGCAGATCTGGCTTCGGCTCAGCGCTCTCTGCGGCCCTGACTGGACTCATAGAAACAGTCTTGTCTCAACAAATACCAACAACGTTAACGGCAAACAGAGCATGGAGGCTGCTGTCGTTGGCGCCCTCCCGGGCTTCCAAAAGAACATGCTTATAGCAGTAAAAACTATAGAAAGCATATTGGCTGGCTTTAAGACGCGATGCAGAGGCGTCGAACGGGATCTGTGGAAAGAATATCAAGTCGTCGAGAATGCTCTCGAGAGCCGTACCCGTCGTTTAGAACGCCTGGAAAACCTCGTTCGAGGCGGTATCGGCGAGCAAAATGGGATGCGCACCGAAGTCGCAAAGCTACGCACCGAAAACCGTCTGCTGCGTGCGGAACTTAATGTAGTGAAAAACGAGGCTTCATCAACAACCACAACCGCAACCGCCACAGCCGTACCATCAAGCCAGCAAACCACGGCCGTAGCCTCAAGTCAGCAGGCCCCACCCGCCCTCCACCGTTCAAAAACCTCTGCGGCAGTGCCCCGACAACCGCCGAAAGAGAAGGAAACCTCAGTTCCCAATTCCACCGCCATTACACGCACTAGTTCCACAGCTAGCGCTTCTCAACCGAGCGACCCCCAGGACGTCAGCGAGAAGCGCTGGATTCTGCGTCTCCGCGAATTGGAGAAGCGTTTGAAGGCAGAACGCGAGGCAAGATTACTCGATCGTTCAGCAGCCAAGAAGAAAGTTGAGGAGGCGAGGGGAACTAGCGCGGAGTACAAAGCAGAATTGGAACGGGAGAGGGCGGTTAGTGGGTCTAAGAAGTAATGATTGACAGATAGATGGTAGATGGTAGATGGATGGAGGTGGGGGCGGGAGTATAAACGAATGAATGGTGTTTGGCGTATGGGTGCTTTTTTTGTATGATAAGCATGAAGGGCATGGTAATGTTAAGCTTCGTATGATATGATAGGCTCAGGTTCGGCGTCATGGGATGTCACTCTTCATCGCTGTCTGAGTTGAGATAATTTAAGATTACTTACACATCATACTCGATCCGCTCGTGACGCCCGGACGCAATGCCCTGAACGAGATTATATCGCGTCATAGTACTCTTCTGCTATACATTTATCGATGCACTTGTGCCTGGTGTCCTCCAGGCGTATGCTACATCTATAATTCGTGACCCCCACCCAAACCCTTTCTCTCTCTGTGATTGCTCCTTTGTAGAGGAAGAGATTTGGTCGTTAGCCATAATCGATCAATGTTTACAATCTCTCTTCGCTTGGAGCTGTATCCGCTCCTATAATGCATTCAATGTTTAATGAAGTAATATCGTAATAAAATTTCCTGAAAGCGAAAAATATTGGTCTCTGCCGGGGCCGTCCAACATTTCGGGAAAGAAAAAATAAAAATAAAAATAAAAATAAATAGGGAAAGGGAACAGCGGTGTAGACAAGCACCATTAGACTATGCCATACTCTTTACCAACAATGAGTGTTGAATATTGTACTAACCGTTTTCAAAAGTATCCGAACGCCTTGGCGCCAAGACAGACAATATAAGTGCCAAGGCGTCCGGATACTTTTGAAAAGGGTTGGTAGAGAATGTTCTCACTAACTGACGCCGATCGAGTGAGATATTGTGATAGACAAGATAGACAATGCGGAACACAAGCGGCTGGAAGATACGTTTGAGAATTTTTATGTTACAGTATTTGGCACAGCAAGGTGCACCCGTGGGCACCAAATAATCTCAGAGCCGATACCCCACCGGGTTTTAGGGCGTCCTGAAAAAGTTCGTCGTGTCTATTCTATCATATCAAGGTATCATAGCAAAGCTCAAAGTCTAGAATAGGGCACGGAGTTCGTGGCGCATACGGAGGACAGGTTCCCAGTATCAGGGAAAAAACTCATGACCCTTAGCAAGTTGGTTCCACCTGAAAAGGAAGTGCGATAAAATACGTAGGAAGTTCTTGAGCACGTCGACTTGGAGCAAGGAGGTTTATTTTAGGTCCATATATTGTAGTGTTACCGGTGGTCCCGCCCTGCAAAGACTGGTCCGGACCATGGAAGACGAGAGCCATGGCGTCTAGTACTCGTATGAAAATAAAAAAATGAAAAAGACCGGCTTGGCAGAGGAAACAGGAGGGGGACTGTGGAAGATTGCTGGACAGATGATATCAAAGCCCAGGGTTAGTCTTGGGTGGGTAGAGTGCATCATAGACAATTTTGTAGTAGGGAGTATTTTATTCAGTACCAGGATTTCACACGATGCCTGGGGAAATGCCTAAGGTATGATACGATAATATGAAGAAAAAACACCCCAAGAAAACACACAACTCGCATAATATCATACTTCAAGAAAGAAGGTCAAGGAAGGTGCTTGCACGAAGGTGTTCTCTCTCAAACATAGCAAAAAATCCGATGGGGACTGTTGTCTCGATGATCGTTGCTACAAATAACGGTGATTGAACCTCGATAGGCTCGACCCTATGGCGGAGAGATAGTGCCCGTCTGTTAGTCAGCGGTCGTTGGGGCTGGCTGGGCAGTCATTTCCCCAGGACTCGCTCTTGGTATGGTATGATAGAACGGCCCCTGACTAGTCCAGGGCCACGTGGAGCAACTTTAGTGGACGTACAACTGGAAGCAATAACCCTAGGTGCTATGATATTTCCCAACATCCGAGATATGATAGGTATGATAATATTATAATACCATACCCATCATTTTTCCAATTTCTTTACCCTTTGTAGGTCCAAAGTTATCGTACATAAGCTCCCCACCTCGGTGCGAAAGTTTCCCTCACAGTAAACTCATCCACCCATCCACCCATCCCAACATATCAAACGGCGGGAACCAGATGAAGAGAAAGTAGGCTTGAGGAATAGCAAGTTAACCAATGCCACAACACTATGAATAACCCATATAGATAACCCCCCATAATCCTTTCTCTTTGGAGACGGCAAGTCAAGGGCATCATCAGGAATCATCAGGCAACACTGCCTATATAAATCTCCACATAAATCTGGTTCTTCCCAAGAAATTCTTTCTCATAAGGCGGAAACTAGAAGGAAACAGTCAAAGAAGAATAGAGAGCGGGAACTCTCGCAAACTAGAACACCCCTGATGACGGCTTCTGCAAATCAGGAAACTACCTCCTTCACCTCCTTCAAGAACAAGAAAGTCATGAGACTATGTAACCGTTACGGAAAATCCGTGGGGTAAGATGGGAGGTAAATCAGCAAGCATGTTGGCTAATGCACTAGTCAATCTTCAACAGTTGTTGAGTTTGGATAGACGATAATCAAGATCTTGTATCGGAGTTTAGTATAATTTGGCTCTTCCTCCCGGCTCTTCGCAAGCACTGGAGGTACCCGAGCTCAAAAATTTTCTCTGAAATTACTCGCACACTAATGTTTCACTTTCTTTCCCACGCTCCTTACCCTCCCCACCTGTGCCCGGCAGCCGGGTGTTATAAAACCCACATCTTCTCTTCTCTTCCCTCCTCCCCACCACAACCATCGCCACAGCAAGTTCTTAGCAAATTCATCCTCACCGCTTATAAAACTTATCCCGGTTAATAACCACCACAGCCCAGTGAAACTGTCTGACCAGATATCTTCTGTCATTAATGTAAGTATCACACGACCGCACTGCTTTCCACCACATAATCTACTTGACCTCGGTTCACTAACCCCTATCTCCCTAATTTTTTTCCGCCAGCAAAATGACTCAAAAAAAGAGAGTTGTCCGAGCCAGCAAGAGAGTTCTCCGAACCAACAAGAGAGTCAACGATAGTGTCTCTATCTTGTTTGAAGCCATGGGTGTTGACTGTAGGCCGTACCCGGTCGTCACACCTGGGTACAAAGACCCGTTTCCGGGCTTGTTTGGAACTTGTAGGAAGCCGTTCAGCGATGCACCGAAGGGGTGCACAAAAGCTGAGATTGATTCAGATTTGGCAGCTATGCGGGCTCAGGTAGGTATTATATTCCTCATCGTCCTCACCAAACTAACAATTTTAAGATTCCAAAGTCTCCTGTAAAGCATACACCAAGGGTGTGCACAAAGCCCGGGATCGATTCAGACCCGGCAGAGACGCGGGATCAGGTAGGTATTATATTCCTCATCGCGCTCAACAAACTAACAACTTTAAGCTTCCAAAGCCTCCTGTAAAGGACACACCGAAGGTGTGTACAAAGCCCGGGATCGATCCAGACCTGGCAGAGACGCGGGATCAGGTAGGTATTATATTCCTCATCACGCTCACCAAACTAACAATTTTAAGCTCCCCAAGCCTCCTGTAAACATTGTCCAACATCCGGGGACCGCAGGGGTCCTTGAGTTTGTCAGGGCCGCCTTTCCCACTGGCACAAAACCACTGAGGATTATTCTGAAGATACCGGTCCCTGGAAACAGAATCACAAAAAAACCACCTACCTCGAAGAAGCAGAAGAAGCCTCTTGACATCCCTAAAACCCCGGTGTCGACTGAAGATTTCAAGATGCCGGCAGCCCTGAATGGTCCGAAGCCGGTCAATGCTCTAAGGGCACCGAGTCCGGAGAAAGAGAAAGTCAAAGAATCGCAACCACCGCTTCGACGATCAACTAGACCCAGGAAATCTCCAAAGTTCTCTGACTAAAAATCTCTAAATGATGAGGTTTACATTTCATTGCACAAATCCTTACTTTCAATTGTTTTTTTTTCTCTTTTGCTCCATATTTCCTTTGCTTGCAAGACGTATGAGGAAAATAGGTTCCTTCTCCTGATATCATTTGTTTCTGGGTTTGAGGATATTGCTCCTAAACATTATTTCTTTTCTTTTTTCAAGAGGACCGGCTTGTTTGGTTTAATTTCGGGGTCACAACTGGCCTTCGCTTTAGTGCTTGTAGGATTACGATTTTCAAATTTTGTGTATGTCAAGAAAAAGAAGGGGGGGTTAGATTAGTTTTCACTGATTATTTTTGAGATTTTCCATGCTGTGCCAACTCTTTAGCCTATCGAGACCATCTATGCCCGCACAAATCCAGACTACGCGAATAGTGGATTGACAAGTAAGCATAAATGAAAATTCCGAGTCATCGCTCATGATTGGAAATACTTCAATCATTCAAAGCCAGTATGTGCGCAGTTTAAACTCTATAACTTTACACCATTCATACCCACTTAACACAAAGGGGTCTGGTGCTTTGATCATAGTCAGGGGGCCCAATCGGATCGAAACAACACCCTAAACTATATAAGCCGACTTCGGCACTCCCCGGAACGTACCTGATTGCCACAGATATTATAACACCAGGGTGATACCAAGGGCAACTTAGTGCCGCGGCCTAATCCTAGGCACTGTATATATACCTTTAGAGTACTTCCTTATCCCTCTTCGCCACCATCTCCAATACCCCAACACTCCTTGCACTACCACTGCATCGCAACAGCTATAAGGCAATAGGAGAGCACTCCTTTACTCAGTTCGAGTGTGAGTCTTATTACATTCCTGAGGATTATTAACAGCTATCACAGCACTCCCGCCTCGAATGGTTTGCAAACGCCCTGCCAAGTCCGATACCTCGGTTCCTCAACGAGTCCTGCAACCTGTCCACCGAGGAGATTGGTACTTTGAAACGCTGGAATGGATACAGGAGAATTGGTTAGGGATCTGCTGGTTATTCCGCCAGTCATTGATACCCATCCGCACACTGCTGATGGCATGTGCAGCCTTACTCGCCGACACTTAGCACACTCCCGCCCGGTATTGGAGATCGACACAGGGGATACCAGCTATCGGGTCTATGTTCCTCAAATTTAAAGGCTGGTTCGGTTCCAAACACCTGCATACGAATCCTAAAGTGGAAATTGAAACATAAAGAACTAATATATCTCACCTGCACTGCTGTGGCATTTATAGACAAAGGGCGTACGGACCACAAAGATTGCCTTTTGGATTCCTAGCATATGAGGAACATTTGGCTGTAGAAGAAATAGCACTACTCGCCCCCACAGATATATCTTACTGGGTCAAATTAGGACGTATGTGCAGTTGTTCAGTGGGAAGTGCAGCTCAGTCCGTGGCCAGGTGAACATCCTGACCCAGGATCAAGCTATCAGTTATTTCCTCTTTGACAGACCATCGAAATGCCTACGGGCCAAAGTCTTTCTAATTTATTCTTTTTCCGCCAGTTACTGACCATCGAACACCCATGAGACGCACTGTCCCCCATCCCCTCCGAACTCTTCACGGTGTCTCTGTGCGCTGCGCTACCGTCAGTCGCTAAGGGAGTATGGTTAGGGTGTTTCTTCCCCTCAATGACCCCCACCCCCCGGGTTACAATACCGATTGACATCGCGATTTCTATTGACAAAGCTATCACTTTATATGCTTTCTGGACGTTAGAATTTGGCATTTGACCCACTCACCCGCGCCCCACCCTGTGCCCGCACGATGCCGATCTGAAACAGCACATGCTGACAGTTTCTAGGGCGAGAAAGTAACCATACAAAAGTCGGACTCTTCTGCATTGGCGGTACTAGCACATTTCCCCAATGCTCTCTTGTTAGTGCATTCACAAGTGTTGAGAGAAGTGGTTTCTAAGTCTCGTGTTGACAATTCCATGTTGGTATTAGGCTAGGGTCATGTCTGTGGTTGGGGTTTCGGTCCCATCGTTACACAACCGCTCACCAGCAGGAAACATGCTGTGTTACCAATGAACAACCCCAAATCCCGACTTGAACCTTCCCGCCTCTCGTGAAACTAGCTCTTGGCGACACCACACGTCCAACACGCCCTTACCAGGAAACCTTCACGTCCGAGCCCTACAGCAGCTGTACCCCGGCTCAAGCCAACTCGCAAACACAAGCCTCAGTCATGTACTCCCGCCGTCACCCGAACAAACGTGGCAAACCTCCCGAAGATACAATCATCACACAGTACAAGAACTTCATCAGGAACTCTCAACGAGACGAAAACGGGAACCGATTCGTAGAGGCTATCGTCACAATGCCTCCCAGTAACGATTGGACTCGCATCAACCGTCGGAGGAAAACCCTCCAGCCCCGCCCTCCAGAGATTGTTGACGGGGACAGCCGCACAACTGGGGCCCCGTCCCTGCATGTTCTTGCTCGCCGGACATTGAATAAGCATATCGAGGAGTTCACAGCCGAAATACTAAGAGGTATCCCCTGGGTTATCATAAAGCCTATCTGGGAGGACGCTTTGAATACGTAGGAGCCCCCTATCCCACCTTATCTGCTTTAATATGTTAATTGACTTTCCTCCTTCCCTTCACAGCTCAAGAGATAGCTTTCTTGTGTGGTCTAGATTCGCTTCTGTCTATGGGGTAATTCCTTCTATCCGATTGCTTTGCCCGTAAGGATTATCTAACTATGAGCGGCATACTAGGATGAACCCGACTTCGCGTGTCATTCCAGGGCCCAGAGCAGTGGACCAGTTATGGAACGTCTACGGATTGAAAAACTCGCATATACAGTTTCCCTTGGGTCCCTAATAGGCCCCATATCCAATAATCAAGGGATGTGGATTGTATACCTAAACCTTCTGTATAACAAAGGTTACACCAGGGAGGAGCTTTTATGCATACCAGAAATCCCCAATCTTGTGGTTCTAAATTTCCCTTTCGCCAGTAACGGACAGGTTAGCACCCTTGACGATGGTGTAATTAGGTCCTGGTCTCGCTCCTCCTCCAGGGACGGGAAGCTATCCAGGTTGAAGGTGCTAATCCTTAGGAACCACGCGGGGATTTCCAACGAGTCCCCTAAGTACCTCAGCTGGATCAAATCCCTGGAAATAGTCGAGCTTACTGACACCAATATCACCTCCGATGCTCCATACTGGGGTATGCATTGGGAACACGATAAATCCCGGTTGTGGGAAGATCTGGCCACGACCCGCGGGGTCATGCACGTCTTTCGCAAGCACCAGGCCGAGTCCGAAAAGCTAACCCTTCTCTTGCAAATCGGAGACAGCGTTACCAGAAGCAGTGAGGAGCATCGTGACAATATCTTTATCCTCAAGAGGATCAGAAATTTGGCTGTTGCGCAAGCGAAACGCAAAGGCTGTTCTGCTAGCTCCCCGCCTTCCGGCCCACCCTCATCGTCCAGTGGTCAGGCTAAGAAGCGTAAGGGAGTTCGGGATAGCAAGAAGAAGGACATGGGGGGTCTACTTGCGGAGTTTGGGTATGGACGTGGGGGCGAGGGGGCACTTGCTTAGCTTGCTTGCTTGTTTGCTTGCTAGACAAGTGGTGATGAAACCCCAAAAAAAAATCGCCAAAAAATGATTTTTACAGCATCTGGCGGTGGATTTGTCTCTGCCCTGGGTGAATAGATGGGTTGGGTTTCGGTTCGGCTGGCATTAATCTGGTGTTCTGGGTTCTGCTCGAGCGGTATGTACAGATTCTCCCTCTATACAGGCGGATACAAACTAGATCTCTCTTTTCTTCCCCCCCCCCCCATGTAGATAAATCAATAATGATGATAGCATTTTCTAGCTTACCGAGATGCTCCTCAAAATCACTTGCAGTAGTGATGCGGTTAATCCCTATGGCTATAATTGCTCGTTGTATTATGGCACACTTGTCTTACACACCAGACGGGAACCCTAGTATACGGTTAATGTTCAAGTATCATAATTACCTCTTGTCTCCTTGCGATCACGATAGCATCACACAATAGAACTCTCTTCTCTTCTATTTCATTTTTATTTCTATCTTTACATACAGTACTTTTTATTTTCATTACGACAATTTTCTGCTATAATAACATCAAACCAGACCGCGGGTAACTTATGATGGAAGCCACTGCAAATCGGGAAGCCTCATTACTGTAATACCAACCTCAAATCACCGAGTGACACCGGGAAATCCTTGTGCCTTCCCACCGGAATGGAATGGGGGGGGGCAATCTATCCCCTCCTCAACTCACCAACCATACTAGCAAAAACCACTTCACCATCGTCATACACACAGTATCATACCCAAACAAATCGGAGGAATTCTCAAAACCATTCCTCCTTCCAACACCTAGATAAAAAGGGAAAAAAAATACCCTAGCGCAGCCTATCTCAGGTTAGCAAGCCAATCGGTCTTGCCACTCCTTCCCCCCTCCACCTCCGGCCAGTTCAGCCAGTCCATCGGACGCAAGGCTACGGTGTACGCCCACTCAGCACATGGAAGTATCTGGGCAGGGGGTTAGTATAAAAACCCCGGTGGAGAGCATGGTGAAATATAAACTTTATGATGAGATATAACAAGGCAAAACAAAAGATGGGAGGGGGAAGGGGGTTCGAATAGGTGGCGGTTATGGCACCGGAGTTTGGTGATCGTTCCTAAGGGCGGAGTATGATATTATTGTTTTATATATTACTTGTTCCAAGGTCTTTCCTTTTCTTTCCAAAATTTCGTTTCTCTTCTTTCCTCCCTTTTCTCCGCTTCAAGCGACAGGTCTCGCATTATTTTCTCGACGTTCTTTACCGGTATTTGGTGTTGACACTTTCTCCCGCTTTCCTCCGCGGCAGACAGATAGGTGGATAGATAGTAGCCCCGAGGGCTAATTATCCAACCCAGTGCATCTTGCAAAAATGTACGCCGCACTAGCAACGCTCCTCCTCGCTACTCCCGCGACCAGCGTCTCCGCAAAGACCGGGAACCTCGGTGACGCAAAGGTTCACACCAATAATCCAACTGAGAAACAGTAAGCTCCCTCTCACAACCTCTAATTCAGAACCAACCAGTGCCCAACAGATTCATTGCATCTCTCCACGGCACTGGAACCCACAGAAGCCTACACTTCAATCTAACAAACTTCAACAATAAAACTGGTGTCTTCGTGAAGCTCGACCTGACAGTGTACCATGGCGACGAGGGCCCGTTCAAGTTATCACTCTACGAGGCACCTGTCGGCGGCAGCGGGAAGTGTGACGGAGCCAAAAATGCCCTTGACCCCTTCCAGCGAGGAGACAAGCCCGAATGTGACAGGAAGGAGCCACAGACATGTCAAGTAGGAGACCTCGTCGGCAAGCATGGGGAGATACCAAAACTCCAGGCGTGATTTCGGTGAAGCAGAGTTTCCAAGACTTGTACTTGTCCTTCAGGAAGGAGGAGAAGGCATTCATCGGGAACGGCTCTGTGATCGTGAAGAATGCCGAAGGGGATAAGATCGCCTGCGCAAATATTACGGAGGTTCGTGGTGCCGCGAGGACCTGGAAACCGAAGGGCAATGGCGCTCAACCTGGGCATGGGGAAGGGCCTGGGCACGGGTCTGGTTTTGGTCGCGGGGGTACTTCTCCATGAAAACCTAGTCTAGGAGGTGGACCACCCAGACCACCATCTACAATAGGCGGCCCCTTCATGCCAGAATGGTTCAAAGGCAATGGAAAGGGCGATAGGTACAAGCCTAGGGAACACAAATCCCGGCTGTCAAGGCTCCTCGGCTCCCACCGCGGTAGTGATGACTATTTCCGCGGCCACCACCACCATCACAGTAACCCCTGGAGAAATGGAAGGAAGTGGGATCGTGATGCCGATGAGTATAATGACTATAGGTAAGCCCATCCATCCATCACCACTGCCGCAGTTAGCGACCCTAACGCGCTCCAAGGTAAACGGCACTCCAGCAAGGACGACCATGAAATGTGGCGTGGGGGCGAAAATCATGTTACGGACAAGAGGCGGCTGCAGCCATTAGCACAATGTCGGAGACGGTATCGGAGTTGACAAATTGGCGGTGGTTTATTTCGGTGTTCTCTCTTGTGTCTTCCCACTCCCTATTAAAAAATTGATTTACCTATACTCGTGCATATTCTATCGTAGTATCTTTCATACCCTCCCGGGGCAGCTGTGGTCGGTCACCTAGTTCCCAGGAGGCTCTATAAGTCCTCCACCTTGCGCAAACTTCACACGAGATGGGAAAAAGAGATATCAAAAGGGTGGTCAAAGAACAGCCACCAAATCGACCTAATGACAGAGCGGTATCCCGCTGTCCAGGTCAGCAACCCGACGGATGATACTATAATCGATAAAAACGAAAGGTGAGAAGGAAAGGGTAGGGGAAAGCAAAAAAAACTTCCCTAAACACTCACGCTCACGCCAATTAACGAGCACTATCAACTGCCGCGCGGAACCAAGTCACGGGTTACAAGTCTCGCCCGAGTCACGTCTATCAAGCCACAGAGTGATTCCCCATGATACGAGTGACGCCAAATGACCCCGCCATGATAACCAGCACCAGCCATCTACCCGTTGTTGGCCCAGCTCACATCTCCACAATCACTCAGGACCGCACATCACGAATAAGACAAAGACAATATTTCACTTATGATGACCGATTCCTTATTTGACTTGCTAATGACGCTCCAAGCGATCAAACCTAAACTTCTCAATAACCAATGCATAACCAACCAACCCCGGAATATCACGACCCAGAAGTGTTGCTACCAACCTAGGAAATATTTTAAAGAGTGGGAATAAAGAGAGAAAATGCTAAAATGCATAATAGCAAACTCCACCTTCCCCAGTAGAAAGAAAAGAAAAAGAAAAGAAAAAACCCAAAAGAATGTAGGCCAAAAAGAGAATAAATGGAGACCAGGAAAAAGCATGGATCGAGTATAACAGATTGTGGCCCCTATGGAGGAATAATGAGAGCCAATAAGAAAAAAGAAAGTGAACTAGAAAAAAAGAAGAGAATATTGTACAAAGGTTACCACTTCCTACGGAAGGTGCATCTAAACATTCTCAGGCCCCCATACATCCTTATCCCAAGGATCTTTCCTTCCGGGCCGAAGGCGGACACCAAAGTCGTCTTCGTAATCGAACTCCTCTTCTGAACCTAGGGAAACTGCTGGACCGTATCTCTCGGCAAGGGTATATGCTGCCCCCGACACTGCTCTCGTGGCAATCCTGTTAGCGATCGAAAACATCATGCCGGCAATGTATGATGATGGCTTTACAACCACGAGATCCGCAGCGGCCCCGACAAACCCTGCAGTCTTGGACAGCACAAGAGACGAAGTCGAACGTGAGAGAGCGGGCGAATGCGGAGCTATAGTAGAGTCTGTATTCCGATACAACGACGGACGCTGTGGTGTAGCAATCTCAGACCAGCTATCCTCTGATTCTGACCCAGACCACAGAGTTGGAGTGGAAAGGGCAGGTGAAATCTGAGCGGGTTCAGGGGCCAAATTTGCACTAAGATCAAGTCCCACCGCAGAAAGATTCCTATCCCGGCGTTTCGAAATACGAACCTCCGGTAATTGTGGTGTCAGTGTATGCCATTCGATCGGGCTAATAGGCGTGTTAGAATCAGGCGTTGAAGAACGAGATGACGGCCGACTGATAGTGGGGAATGCATTTGTATCAGTGAGTTGAGGAGGCACCGTACATGATCGGCTAAGTCGGCTAAGAAACATGCTGCCTCTCGGACTCCTGAATGGTAGAGAGAAGTCATGTCGCCCCTTCGATTCCGTGGAAGTTCCCTCCAATGCCTCTTCACATGGACCCACGTCGATCGAAGAGATATTATGATCCATCTCATCGTGAACCAGCGTTGTGGTATCCGACTCGTTACCACTGCCCTCCTGCTCCTGATCCCCGATAATAGCCTCGACGTGTTCGTCCTCTACCTTCGCTAGTTTCACTTCCCCAACCCCCCTGGGCAGCTCTTCGGCTGCCACCGGCTCCTCCTCCCTCACGGCCTCAATATCCAGGGTCGTCGCTCTCGGCCTCCTCCAAACCCTCGACGGCTCCAACGTCTTGACTGCGTTGACTTCCGTGACACAGCCTCCAGATCTCAAGAACGGGCACGTGGTGATCTCATAAGCAAGTATCGTGATCAAAACCCCCTTAAATTCAATCGCCTTTATGGCGTCCTCACCCGGATCTCTATATATCAACGTTAGCCGCCATGTATAGCGCAAATATACGAAATCAAAGAAGGGATAAACAAACTCGAGAATCTCAAGCCTCCAGTAGCTCCTGGGTCGAATCTGCAAACAAAATACACCACGTCCGTCCACATTCCAGCACTGGCTCTTCGAAAGAACCGGCCGGAGCGCCGATCCAGATTGTAAAAACGCGATATTATGAGGAATTGTCTTATATATCCGGATAGGACCTGGGTGACAAGAACGAAAAAAAACAGTCAATTTCTGTGAAAGGAAAACTACCATTTATCCACCAGAAAAGAGCAGACTCACCAGACGCAATAGTCCTCTCAGTAGCACTAGTCCAAGGAATCAATTGCCCACCAGCATACGCCGAAGCGGAAGCATCAAAGCTAACAATCCTGGCAGACGAATGGGCAAATAACAGGTCGATATTCTGGTCATTGCTCGCACTCGCACTACCACCAACACTGCCGGTACTGCCAGGAGACGGGGACAATGGTGCTCCCGGAGGACTCCGCCGTCGGAGTGTTATTGGTACGGGCACCGCCCTTCGTGGCAGCGGCGTACATTGCGACCAGGCCGCCGACATCAGAGCCAGTAGATCAACGAACGAACGCACGCCGAGGTGACCAAATGTGAGGGAGGGAGTGAATGAAGGAGAGACTGCCCACTCGAGAACTATGGTCTACAGGGGGGGAGAAGGACGAGACACAGACTGAACAGGGGTTGAACAAAGGGTCCCAGCGCGGGAGAAGAAGAGAAGGGGGAAAATGTACTAGTACAAGTACCGGTACAGCACTAATACAGGTTGAAGAAGCTCGAGTCTTTTTAATGTAATATGGACGGCTGCTGGTACAATAGGGAGAGCAAGGACGGGATATGAAAGCTTACCGCTACCTCAGCAAAAAGCGCGTCAGGGGAGAGAGACAGAGCACCAAGATGCAACACGATAACTTACAATCGAACGTAGGAAAAGAGGAGGAAGAGGAGGAGGAAGAAGAAGAGCAGGGAGGGAGAGAATTCTACAAATAAGCCAAGCTATGACCTTCCCTTCCCTTCCCCAGACGGCCATCCACCCAGAAAGCAGGCGGCTATCGTATCGCACCCATCTTTTAATCCCGGTCAAATCACTCGATAAGGGGTTACAGTGGTGGTACGAATATTAATACTGCATGCAGCATATTACTTGTACATTCCGGTATCACAAGTTATTCCCTTCCTCTCCTTGAAACCTGATCCGCAAAATGCAAGGGACCTTCGATACGCCCTGCGCCCTACCCTCCCTCCCTCCCTCCCTTCCTCCCTCTCTGCTCCAGTGCTTTACTCGAGGACCGGTACTCCGCTTTACAAGTATGATGCGGTGAAGCGGGGATGGGTACGGTGTCATGGTACTCGAGCAGATAGGGCAGATATCGGTGCACGGGCACAGACTGGTACGGTAGTCTACTAGGGTATGGACGTAAGTCATGGGAGGGACGATGTCAAAGCTTCCAACCATTCCTGGCATCGCACCCACCAAATTAAATCAATTTTTCCCTCTGGAGGTAACTACGCCCAGACTCAAAAACCCCCGTCCGTCCCATCACTTACAGTACCGGTACAGTACATCCATACCCGAGTACTTACAAGTAGGTACTAAACTTTCCTTTCCCACCCTCCTCCAATCAATCGATTTCCCTTTCCCCCGCTCTACTCGAGTACCCTTGCGATGCCCAAGCACAGTACGATACCCCCACCTGTACTACCGGTAGTACGAGTACAGTACAAGTACAAGTACCTTATCACCATCATCATCCCTACAAGTACGGTACTAGTACCATACCCTTTACTCATCCCAGCAGCACTGATGAAACCACACTGACGAGAATGAAAAGAGAAAAAAGAAAAGAAAGAAAAACCGCAACACTATTTTCAATCATCAAAAAGACGAAACCCCAATTTACCGGTACGGGCGACACGGAATTTTTTGCGCCACCAGGCTTGAAGAGATACTGCAAAGGAGGTGCGTGGACGCGATATGGAGAATCGGAGAAGTACAAGTACCGGTAGAAGAAATAAAAAATAAAAATAAAAATTTACAGCAATAACAAATGCTCGGCTCCGCACCAGGAACAGGTTTTTAAGAAAAAAGAAAAGAAATAAAAAGAAAAGAGAATGTGTTACAGATCACAAGTAATTCTCTTTGCTACACTGGTAAGGTAAACTTTTGCTACCAGTTCGTCTAATGCTAAACCCTTGCCTCGTTTATTTCCTCCAAGAATTTACCCCTATGCTGAGCTGACATGCATCACTTCTAAGCGTGAATAGGTTTTGAGAAAGCTGCCATGGCGGCTTCCTTAAAGGCCTCTGAGAGGGTGGGGTGGGCTATGACTAAAGTTAGAACTGCTATCCCCATGAATTCAAAAATGTGGTGGGGTTTACCATGGCTTGTACGCCCAATATCTTCTGACGAAGCGCCGTATTCCATAGCCAAAACTCCCTCAGCAATCATTTCACCGGCGTTCGGCCCGATGATGTGGATGCCCAGGATCCTGTCGGTTTCCTTATCCGTGATAAACCTGAATTGGTAACATAAATGCGTCAGTAACCCTCTAAAAAAAAAAGTCCGCATGCTACCAGATTCCCGCAGAAAAAGAAAAAGAAAAAACCCTTACTTGACCATTCCCTCGGTATCCAAGTTGGTCTTTGCCCTAGAATTGGCACTGAATGGAAAAGAGCCAATGTTGTACGCTTCGCCAGTTGCCTTGACTTCCTGCTCAGTCTGGCCCACCCAAGCGGCCTCCGGGTGGGTGTACATGACGCTCGGGATAGCCCTGTAGTTGACATGACCATAGCCCTTCTTGATATACTCAACGGCAGCAATTCCTTCCTCCTCAGCCTTGTGAGCCAGCATGGCACCGAAGGTGACATCGCCGATCACACGGATGTGCGGGATCTTGGTGCGGTATTCCTGGTCGATAACGATGCGACCTCTCTCGTCAACCTCGATACCCACATTCTCTAGACCCAAGCCAGTAGTGTATGGTCTGCGACCAATTGCGACAAGGACGACGTCAGCATCAATCTATAGTCGACGGAAATTAGCTCCGGCAACCTTAATCCGATTACCACAGGGATTGGACGAACAGATTCAGACTTTCCACCCTTGGCGGATTCAACATTGATCTTGATGTTGTCAGATCCAACATCGCCACCCATAACCTTGGTGTTAAGCTTGAACTTCATTCCCTGCTTCTGGAGAATTCTCTGCATTGTCTTGGCCATCTCGGCGTCCATGCCGGGGCCACCGATAGCTCCAAGATACTCAACAACGGTGACATCGGAACCGAGCCTGGACCATACGGAACCCTACGCACATCGTCAGAACCCTCAGTGCCGATACAGCAATAGCCAGCATTTATCCCAGACTAACCATCTCAAGTCCGATGATGCCACCTCCAATGACAACCATCTTCTCCGGTACCTGAGTCAAAGCGATGGCACCAGTACTGGTAACAATCCTCTTCTCATCAATCTCAAGTCCAGGGAAGGGAGTCGCCTCAGATCCGGTCGCAATGATAATATTCTTAGCGCGAAGAGTCTGAGGCCCCCCACCATCCAACGGACCAACCTTGATCTCATGTTCGCTGGTGATGGTTCCAGTTCCTTTAACGTAGTCGACGCCGTTCTTCTTGAATAAGTATTCGATGCCCTTTGTTAAACCCGAGACGGATTGTTCCTTCGCATTCATCATCTGTGTTAGGTTGAGCTTGACATCACCGACTATACAATAACCCCCACATTAGTAAATTGACTCATCCCTCACAAGAGAAACCCCCATTACTAGGAACCCCTATCGTTTGGTAGAAGCCTCCCAATTGGTAAAACAAGAAGGGAGAAGGAAGAAAGCAGTGCTAGAAAGATAAGAAACATGCCATCAATCCCACGATTCTTAACATCGTGCAAAATCTGGTGGTATATATGCGAGTTGTTGAGCAAAGACTTTGAGGGAATACACCCAACATTCAAGCAAGTCCCACCAAGGGAGCCACGCTTCTCAACACAAGCGGTCTGTCCCCCCACGCAACAAAAAGAGAGCGAATTAGCCTCGATACAATTCCAATTACTCGAGATCGAAAAAACCCCTCACCTTCAACCCTTCCTGAGCGGCTTTGATAGCCGCAACGTACCCGCCGGGCCCACCACCTAAACACATCCGCCCGTCAACAACCAGCGCACTCCATCAGACGAAAGAAAAACAATACCAAATTTCACGGGGGGCGCAACATACCTATAACTACAACGTCGTGTTCCTCAGCTTCCGACGCAAGACCCCTCCTCTGCACAAGCAGGAACGTAGAGGGGGCATATCCACCAGCCTTAGCACTCAAAGGCCGGAGTAATGAGCGGGATGAATGTCTAAGAATGAAAGGCTTCAACATGCTTGCTTGAACAAGAGAAAAAAACTGCAATGGGGGGTATCCCGATGATCCGTTAAACGTAGAAAGAGGAAGAAGTCGAGGGAATGAAGGAAGGGTAGCTTTTTTACTTCCTTTGGGAGTGATGATTGATTGCTCGAGGTTCTGGTTGAGGAGGAGGTGGTGGTGGAGCAGAGGGCCAGAGACGAAAGCGGGTCTTGGCGTTACCTGCAATAGCCGGTCCCCGGTGCCACACTTTTATTTTTTTCCCCCTACCAGTCTCTGATATTTCCAATCTGCTATAGGAGATTAGTAAGCAGTTAGCCTAGACTTCAGCCACACCCAGCGGGGGGAGTTCAGGTCCCTTCTCGGGTTTTCTTTTGAGATCCGTTGATACGGTGCCCGATTACTGTAATTTACGTATACTCGAGTACTTACTCGGAAGCTAGCGGGATCCTTGTTCCGGTTGTCAAGGTCCAAAATCATAACCAACTTGGACACTACCACTCGAGTAAGTTAGAGGCCTCTTGGAGATAATACCGGTAGAAAATGGGAGTAGACTAGCTACCGGGTACGACATGCAAGGGACGACATGATAATGTGTGGCAAATAAAAATTGCGAGCCAGAATCCCAGGTAGGCCCAAATTCATACGGGTTCATTCTCACTTGTCCAATTTGCAGAAACTACCTTCAAAGCAATTGGTCTGGGTTTTTGACTCCTGCGGCATTAAACTTCAAATAACCCATATATCGCCTCCACTAGTTTCCGGCTTCTAACAACCCCCCCCCCCCCCGAGTACTCGAGCACATAGGCCACGGGCAGCTAGGGTTAGGTCCCGGTCTGTCATCGGATGAGAACAATTCGTTGCGTGGCGGGGGATCCTGGCATTTCACGATGTGCCTCAGATGGCAAATCACCCAACATAATCCCCTCCAACCCCCCCGGTAGGTGCAGGGCAATCCGCTCGAGCACGAACGGATCGAGGATCACATCGTAGCAGGCGCAGCCTACTGAAAACAATTGTGGGCAAAATCTAACGAACGCCCCTTCGCAAAGGGACGTGCAGGCACATCTCATAAAAGATTGAACAATCGCGAAGATAAAACACGCTGACAACGTCCCTCGGCTAGTATGATAGCGGGCCCTAGTGGGGTACAACACCTCGAAAGCCAACACTGGCGCAATCGGCAGTCTGATGCCGACGTGGGTCGGCACGGATATCGGTCCGTACTCGTAGCCCTGTTGGCGGGAGTTGCTTGCTGATTGGATCACAATTGTCATGCTAGCTTGCTAAACCAGGGCAGGGAGGGGCATACCCGCTACAGCCTTCTTCAATTTGGCCGCCTTCAATTTGGCCGCAATACGCCTAAATGTCGTTTGCGTGACGAAGGTTGTGGTTCTTAAAGGTGAGGAGGGAGTGTCGACATTAGCTTCTGAAAGGCGATGCTGTTTCTTTGTGGGCAAAAATGGAGTCCTCCTCTATACGTGAAAACTACCCACTAGCCACTTTTCAGGGATGTCCACTCGATCTGTCGGAATATAGTCCTAAGCTCATGAGCTTGGCCAACAGTCTGATCCTAACTGCAGCCACGGCAGCCGGTAGAATGGCGAATAGGAATCTTCCCAGGTGAACTCCAAATGCTTGTTACCGCGCCGCTTGCTCTGACGGTACGATAGGGCCACTTGTAATCATAGAGTTCTTGAAAATTCTAAGCATGATTCTCTCACATCATGGCCGATAATCACAAATTATCACTCGAGCTTGAGAGAGCAAGCCAGCACTAGGTTGGAGAGTTAAAAGTTGGATACTTCGGGAATCTTTGATCCAAAATTCTTCGAGTTTTAGAACAGAGCTTTTGCGAGTATCACACCAACACAGAAACCCCATAATAAGGCACAAGGTGCGTCTAACCACCAGTTGGTATTCCAGTTCGTTGCTTCCATACCATCCGATCCGAAAAAGTACGCAACCACCCTAAACCCATCACACTCATATACGTATATCATTATTATCCCTGACCTCACAAAACTCCAAACAGTAAACATGTCTCCAAATTAAATAATCGTAATTGCCCAAAAGGCATCAACATTAGCAAAGCAAATAAGTCGCGGTATGCCGCCGCCTTCCTACGAGACGCCACTCTTGGGGGGAAATAGAATATTTCTAAGCATCACACAGCACGGCCATTTCTTCTCACTAATATTATTTCCGGTGAGTCGGATCTTAGACGTTTCGGTGCAGCAACGGGACTCGAGCTAGCGCTATCGATGACTATGACTATAGGGTCTGCTTTAGGAGCTTCATATGGAACGACATCCTCCGGGAGATTGGACGTATCAATATCCCCTTGGAAATTTTTTCTTTTTCCCACCATGTCTGGTGAATCGTAAAGTGCTAGCTTCTCGAATGTCCCTAGCATCCCTTCAGCTGCCCAAAGATTTTCCGAAACTCCATCGATCCTAGACACCTCTTAGCGCAAAATAGGAGCGAGACGGGATAGGTTGTTGCATACTTTGATGCGGCCCCTTCTTTTATCCGGTTGAATCGGCCTTTGTTCATGCCCTCCAACTTGGACCAGGTAAAACGCAATCCTTCCCGCAGGAATATTAAACCATGGAACCCAATCTCATCTATCCGCTCTTGCAGAGCATTTAACAACCATTCTTGGTGACACTTTTGGCGTAATTCCATGCCGGCTGCAAATAATGGGGCCACACTAAGGAAAGAGTTAAGAATTGCTCCTAGGTCCTCTTGGGTATGGTGGCACTTACATGCATGCATCACTTGAGCTCGGTAAACAAGCAAATATACGGAGGAGCGTGTGGCACAAAGAGCCTAGGCGAGGTGGAACAACTGGCATGTCAGGGTTGCTTATCCGGTTTAACTGAAGCCTGACGCCGATTGCCCAACCATGGACCATGGCTATAGATATATGCTGATAGCTTCCCACGGTAATCGAAGCGATTGAAGTTGTGTTGATGTCTTCGCCTTTAGGATTGTAGTCCGGGGGATCGGTGTCAAGGGCAGAAAACCAAGAGGGAAGCTCGGCATACCATATATCAAGCTCTTCTTCTAATTTTAATACTCGATCTTCAATGGTTTCTTGGAGTGATTCCTTTTGCTTTAGGGAGGGGTTGCCATTGGATTTAACCCAGAGGGTCCTCCTACGCTTCAGCGACCAAGCTTTAAGATAGGTAAGCTTACAGCAGAGCACACAGAGCTTCGAGAGGGCGGCGTCAGCTACCAGAAGGGTTGGGGAATCGGTTGAAATTGGAACGCGAGTGAATGGGTCAACAGTCCACCAATCCTAAATGGATAGAAGTCAATAACGCCCTACACATAACCAATCCACAAGGGCATATCTAACCTTTGTCATAAATGTTGGGTTTCCGCTAATACTCGAGGTGGCTACATCCATTCTATTGAAGGCAGCATAAAGGGCTCTCCCCACTGGCGTCATGTGGGCTGCTTTGCCTAAGCAGGTGTCAGTGGTTGGCTCCGATATTCAGGTTAAAAAGAGCATCCGGTACCTCTAGCCAGTATTATGTCCCTTCCTCCCAACATGTGAACGCCCATTTTCACATTTTCCCCATTCCAGATCTTGGTGGCACGGAAAGTAAGTGAACGAAACAAGCAGGAGCCAAGGGCAGAATACCTCGTAATGACCTAATATTATACTTGTAGCGAGGAGTGAGTCTCTTGATCTACAGTTAGGGTCTGCAACAGCCCTAAAGTGCGCCTTTAACGCTTTATGGTAATGCGAAGCAGCATCGACTGCTATTATGCGGGGGTCTTTTCTCATCAGCCCTATCTGAATTGCTGCTAGGGCCAATATTCCCTCCATCAACCCCGTTGAATCATAAGCCATAGCAGGTATGTACTTTCTGAATAGATCCACATATGAGGGTGAGGTATCTGCTAATCGTTTTGCCGAAATATCAAGGTAGGCCTGTAATAACTCCCTATCGGTAGGGCTTTCTAGATTGGCTGGCCGTGGGGGGGGGAGTGTCATTGTCGATGGATTCCAGCTGCATGCACTAGAGTAAGCTGTCGTATACTTACCATCAAGGTTCATGAAAGGAGAAACCCACCCCGACATTGGCATTGTGATCTCATCCAATACCTTTTGCGAGAAGTGAGGAACGCATTCGGGTATCAAGTCGAGGACAGACTTTTCCGGCAGTATCGGTATTGGACTTTCCCTTAGAAATGTTGGCGAGGATATAGATGTTTGTGAATCGGAGCTGGAAATGCTCTCCGAAGGGGAGTCTGCCCCGCTAGAATCTGAGCCATCACTCACTTGCGTAATGAGGTAGTTGCGCAGCTTCGATGAAGCAACTGGGTTAAGAACAGTCTCCTCAGTGCTTAACTGAAAAGAAGTCAGACACCCAATCATAATACCCCCTCCAGGGAAACAAATCGTACTTACAGAAGGCTTGCGTTTTCTATTCGTTCCCCTCAGTACATCTCGCCGTCGCAGCATCTCCTGCAGGAATATTTCCACCCCTCCTATGATTTTCACCGTCAGCACAAGCACTGAGCCTTATAAGGATCGCCCCTAAAAAGCGATAGCCTTCCAAACTTTATTCGCCCAGCTTGTGTGCAACTTTCTTGATTTGATTGCTCTTTTTTTTCGCTCCCCTTTCCTCCTTTCCTCTCTTCTTCTCCTTCTCCCCTTTTTTCCAATCATTTGCTGGGATCAGGTTCATACCCATTTGGTTTTCCACCTTCCGTGATACCACCAAGTCATTACCACACAATAGTTTTTCCACCTCTTCTCCCTCTGTCCCCCGCCATCCGGCATCCAACCCTGCAGCAAAGCTATGCGAGGGAGGTAGGCTTTCCATTGTTTCCGCTTTGTAGAGTAGGTTGCAATTGTCGGCACTGAGAAGCTAGCAAACCTTCAACTAAGGATGGCATTGTCGCCAGGCCTTGTTCAGGGGTGTAAATGCAGGCTCTTATCCAACGGTTTATTGATTAGATATTGCAAAGTATGTTTTCTTTTCTTTCCGATATGCGTGATTGTAATGTGCCTCGAAGGGGCAGTTGGTCCTAGGTAGCTCCGGAGGAGGATCTCTTCCTTATATAGGTAAAACAAAGATGGGTAATAACCCGAAGCGGGGGTACAGAAAACACCACAACCCTGACAGGTTTTCCAGCGGCTTCCCGATTACCGCATTTATCAACACTATTTTCTTATCCCATTCTATGGGGTCTATAGGTACGGTACAGTAACCGATAGTGGGTGGCTTGTGGCTGTTCGGTACCTTTCCTGAGGAACGAGAGTAAGGAGAGACAGTTTGTGCGGATAAATCCAACCTCTTTCGGGCGGCTGCAGTGCGCAGCAAGCAACTAACAGCCGTTTTTCCAAATCTTCGAATCTTTAAGTGGGGGTCTCGTTGGCCGAATGGGGTTGTGTCACAGTGGATGGCTATATTTGTAGGGCCGTTGAGGTGCTTCGCCTCTTCCCGCTTCGCACAGTAGGTTAACTCGAAAATTCAGAGAATGGGTGTGCGTTTAAGAATCTCAAGGACCCAGAAATCGGCCAAATATGAGCTGAAAATGGGCTGCATACATACAGGTGGACCACGAATATAGCTCCTTATGCACCAAAATGGAACAAAAGGGATGGCAGCGAAAAAAAGAAAAGAGGGATAAATCTCAATATGTAAGAGGCATTGCTACTGGTATCTGTAGAGATGGGATGCGGCGTGAAGAATGGAGAAGAAATAGATTTGAGGTTAAATGATAAGGGGAAGAGAGAAGGGGAGGTGGGAAAAGAAACCACCCCTATTCGGACCCCTTCCTCTCGCCATTCACAAACAAACTTTTTGTGCTGAATCTCTTCTTGTGTTGTCCCTGGTGCGTTGACCAAGCTACTCGAGCACATCCATGCCTCATTTGCCAATGAGGCTTTTGTCGTCCCTCCCCTCCTCAAAAAAGCGTCTGACATTCTCCAGGATGAGCTCCACAGTCTATCATGGCACCGTATGGTACCACGCAAATATCATTAGCGGCACAACTGTCAGTAAGAATTCCAGATATCATTCAAGACTACTAATTTTCAGCTCCCAAATAACACCGAGTTCTGCCGTTTCTAGCTAGACAAGAGTACTGTACCGTACACGTACAAGAGGGTATCATAATGCTCCCATGGATTCGGTCGATTTTAGTCGAGTTTACCACAAGTGGTTGTTCATACATGAACACAGCATACTGTGCTTGTACTCGTACTCGTACACACATTAGCTACGTACAAACCGGTACATCCGTCGGCACCAGGAAATAATTAAATCATAAGTACTATTAAGATAATCTCTCCTCTCTCGTCTGACGAAAAGAACGTCCCCCGATACTAATGAGTGAGTGGATGAAAAGAGTAACAGGGTATGTCGTACCAGTATGCAGGAAAAGAGGAAGATTGAAATCCAAGTAAAAGCACTGTAATTTAAGACCTGTGCGACCAAAAAAGTAACACCCACAACCGGGCTAGAGCCGGACCCGGAACAACGTGAAACCATGTGGGAAAAAGAATCCCCCGTCACAAAAAAGGTCATGTTAGCTACAGTAGCTAGCACACCGCCACTCCCACAAATCCCGCGTCTCAAGCAGGTACGTGTGTTGTAGGCTCATGCGCGCTGCTGCTGCTCTTTTCGAAGCGCCCACCCCTTTATTGCCATTACACAAGTTATCCAACTCATGATCAAAACGGTAGATCCAATAATCACCGTGAGGACGAACATTGCGTCCCCATTCGCTCGCTCTAGTGCTGCAACTGTATCTTTGTTCTACAACGAGGGGTGTGGTCAGCAACCCTAGATACTCTGCACTTTGTGTCTTGTGCTACCAGAAGCACGTGCAGTGCACCGATCAAAGTCGAAGGTTAGAGCTCTCTGGAAATAGACTTACACTTGCCATAAACACAAGCCCACCTGCCATGAGGCAAAACGACCCGATGGTTTCAGTTGGGGGCCTGGATGGATAGTAAGAGGTCAAGGGTGACAGATACAGCAGAACGTAAGTGAAAAGCCTGAACACGCCAAACGTGGCTAAAAGAGCTCCCCACTGTGCACATGTCAGTCGCCGCGACCTATATAACTGCTGAGCCTAGACATACTTGAGCGTGGATCTTGGTTGACAGTGCTGAGGATTGGTGGTGCTGGCTCATCATTACCCCAAGGCAGAATATCACAAGTGCCGGGAGAGGGTTCAGTGACATCTTGTGATCCGTAGTATTCGGTTGTCGTGGGGCCCCAGGTTTGTAGGGTCCTCTAATTTCACCGATTTGAGTAATGATGCTCTGGTTTAAGACATTCCTTATCCACTGCGATTCCACAAGCATACCGCACTATCCCCAGTTAGTCTTTTCCAATACAGCTCTCTGGAACATCTGAAGACATACAAGGCCAGCTCCAAAGAACATAAAAGCGATCGAGACGTGCTCTAAGTCTCCGTGCGACCAAGCGCCACCCCGCCCAGCAAGATGCTCGAGGAATACGTTCGAAGCTCCGTAGGTAAAGATTACGGTGCATTCGATCATTTCAGCTGAGGGTATTCTAGACCTCCACTTGCCGCCATAGTCCTGAGGTGGCTTGACGTTCCAGGCCTAATCGATAGCATTAGGAAGCTACTCCCACGGCTGTGGGGAAGTACTGTAACATACCCATCCAAGCTCGCTAAAAGCACCAAGCCAGCGCCCGAGTGTTAAAACGCCATAGAGGAAAAATATTCCGCCTTTTATGAAATGCGCAAGTCCATTGAATACTCGACTTTCCATCTACCCAAACAAAAAAAATCACACCGTTAGCCAACTCTTGTAGGAAATAAGCAAATTCGCCTCTGTTTAGAATACTGACGAATATTCCACTTGCCGTCACGATACCGAGTGATATCTGGACGAACCCTAAGACAACTAAAAACCTAGCGATAAGCGAATACAAAGCGTCGCTTATTCGCAAAACCCTGAGCCCGAGCAAATACGGCAAGTGCCGCGACAGGAACGACTCAAGCCAACTAGTACTCGTCAAGCGCTCCACCAACGTCACTTTCCCGTTGGCACGCCCCTCTGCAAGCGGCAAATCCACACCCTCGAAATTCCCATAACGACGGTTTTCCAAAGATGAGGTAGATGGAGATCGAGAACGATATTCATCCGAGCCCTGCCCACTATCAGTAGAATGGCGCTGAAATGTACGGTGATGATGATGATCCTCAGGATCCTGCGCCGGCACCGGGATAAACCCGGAGGTCTCTTCCCTTGTACCACCGAGATTCCCGGCACAGAGTGCGAACCGGATCGTCCTTCCTAAGACCCCCAGGATGGACTGCGTAGCTAATATCCAGACGATGGCCCATCCGAGCTTGTGATGTGAGTTGTTGGGATATAGATCTGGGGTAGCACTATTGTAGAGGATTGAGAGGAATAGGCCAGAACCGTGGATTATGAGGAAAAGTAATTGGGTTGGGAGGTGGTATCTTGAGCCTGCGATTGCGAGGACAACGGCTGGTGCATGCGTCAACAGGATGATTAAATTTTGTTTTGTTTTATTTTTTCTTTTATTTTTAAGAAAAAAGAATTATCATTGCTGGTAAAGAGCTTATGAAGGCCTTACCTATGGGCAAGACGACGATCCAACCGACGCTCATAAGAGCAACATGACCATATAACAGTCCCTTATGATCGGGATGCGCAAAATAGTACGGGAGGGTATCTAACGGCCCAGGAGCTGGGGGAGCGCTATGATCCGAGTGGCGTTCATGGCTACCATGATGATGGTGGTGCTCCTCACCAGCAGAGACCAATTGTAAAGATGAAACTGTCAGGCCCGCGAGCCAAAACAACACAGCCCGATTCAACATATCTCTCTCTCTCGCTGACAGTATTGCACTCGTCGGATTGCAAAGTAATTTGACCCATATAATCTACTGCGCCCATAGGGGAAGGGAAGGAGGAGATGGAGGGTACCCTAAGCCCACTTATATATTTCAAATACTCCAGTATCATACAATCTTCAACGGGGGGCACGACGAAGATCGGTGGGTGACCAACAGGGGTAATTGGCAGGCAAAAAAGTTGAATTCGTTAAAGCAGGGTAACAAAAAATGCCTCTATTACTGATCCCTGTGCGTCACCCACCGGCTTTGATGGTGCCCTCGTTGGAGACTGTAACATTCCAGTTCCCAACTCTAATTCCATTGTACTCGTAAATCCGGAGTAAGGACCCAATGGGGGGGGGATAGCGAAGATGTCGTGCGATATTATCTCTCGGCCCCCGGCGAGCCCAGTCCCTAGGAGTAAAAAAGTTCCTTAGAAGGAAGTGTGAGCCAGAAACACGAGGTAAAAAAGTGAACGGTGGTGGGGAGAAAAACATTGGACGGGATGACGTCGCAGATGGTTGCAAACAATTAGTTACTGCTGCACAGTAAACCACGGAGGAGCAATTCGAAATGTGACTCAATCATGAGCCATGCCCCTGATGGGGGCAAAATCATATCGGTACTAGAATATCATAGAACACACAATACGAGTACACTCGAGCACTGAAGGAGAGTGCCAAGCATACAAAGTGCATCCATCAACGACGTGGGCCTTCTCCCCAAATACGAAGAGGGATAACACGATACTTCACAACAAACGCACAAAAAGAAAAGAGAAAAGAAAGCGAAAGAGAGAGAGCGAGAGAGAGAGCGAGAGAAAATACCGTTGTCGGAACAATGTTTGTCTTTTTGTTTGTTTTTTCCCCTCCTCTTTTGTTCCAAGCCCTACGAGTACGGGTAGACTAGACAAACCTACAAGCAGAACCTTTGGATACTGTAAGGCGTCATAGGGTTCACTTGATTTGAAAAATGGTGAATTGGTAATCCATGTGGGCTTCACCGTACTCGTATAGTACCTTCTAATTTATGATACCGTGTCTTCCGATCCGACCCCTCCGTCTTGGAATCCAAAACTCTTGGAGAGCCTAGTTAACTGCGAAAAAAAAAAACAGAGAGAGAACCTGAATTCCTGGGGACCCACCGTCTCATAGAATTACCCGATATTGATGTGCTGCGTGACACGTTCATTGGTGGTTATCATAGACTAAAATATGTACCAATACCAGTCTCCTCTTAGATAGGGTAATTCTCATTTTCCGACAGTCCCACAGGGCTTCTCTTTTCCTTTGATAAATTTATTCCACCCGTCCTCATGCTTGCTAATCCAACAAACTTGAGAGTTAATTTAATGGTAATCCAGCTGAACAATCTGATACGAAAAATCACCCGATAAGTTATCCAAAAGAGAAAGGAGGGAGAAAGAGAGAAAAAAAGAAAAAAAAACCCTCTTTGCGACCCCTTTCCTTCTAGAGACGAACATACATACATTTCCATTAATTCATTCCGGATTTGAACCCTTCGTGGGAGCCCCACCGATATTCCCTTGCTGGGTGCCGAAAACAGAAAACCCTACCATAACTGTTGCTGTGTGATAAAAAACTCTGCCAAGATTTCTAAGCAGAAGTGGCAAACTTTTTTCCATTAGGTCTAAGCTACTGGGCCGAATCATCCGCTTATCCCTCCCATTTGATACGCTTGCTCTCGAAAGAAGAGTAGCACAAAAACTCATTACTTAGACCTTTGGAGTGTCGAATTTCGAGTGTCGTTGCTCGAACTCCAGCCTGGCGAAAAAGCTTTTCCACCAGTTCCTTCACAACCTGGCCTGTGCATATAATTATGCGTGTGGGCGATTGCTCTGCAGTGTCGCGACCATCGCTGTCGTGAGATGTGCTCGCGGCGCGTGTTGGTGCTACCCACGGTTTCATTAACCAACGAGCTGTGAGAGCCGCTGTGAGCAGAAAAGATGGTCAGTCCATGGGCTCGATATCAAGAAACTGGATTACGGTAGACTAGTGATCCTTGCGCCCCAAAGGAGATCAGGTAAAGCCTAATATAATAACCGAAAATTCATGATGCAGGAGCTACCAACAAGTCACCTACATTTGGTTTGGCAGTCATTGCTTAGAAAAGGCGGGTCAATTAAGATCCGATCGAACTTTCCTTTCAGTTCTGAAGGCAACCTGAGAGGATACTGAAAATCGTAGTGTATGAACTCTGGAAACAAATCAAAGCGCTTATCGAATTCTAATAAGCGCACTTTGATAGAGTCCGGTATCCTTTCTGCTGCCTGTGCTTCGTATTTTGAAAAGCTTAGCCAGTGCGAAGATCAAAGAGTCGTGTGGAGACGCTCCTCCACTTGAAAAAATGGCCCCTCCCGGATCCACCCCCTCCAGAAATACGAACACACCTTTAATTCTTGGATTTTCACAAAGACGCTCGGAGCCGAGACGATTCCGACCAGCGTCCCCTCTATAGCCCCATCAAGAATCTCCTCCGCGAGCATCTCCGCTGTAGCAGAATCATACCAGAACTGGGACACAACCTCAGAACAATTTCATTCACTGATGTGTAGTACCATGCAGGATATCGCGGAAGGACGGAAGAGGAAAGAAAAAACACTCTCCCCTCCCCCGCCCCCTCCCCCACTACCAGTATTGCAAATCTCGAGTTTTCGCGCTCTCACCTACCTGGCTCTGCTGCCAATCCTCCTCAAAATCCTCCATGGTAATAATCTTCTGTCTTTCCTCATACTCCTTCTCCAGCGTGGCCTTCAGATCCTCAAAGCGTTTCTGTCGCTCATCTTTCTCCACGAGAAACGAGTTCAATGCTTCGAGCGCAGCTGATGAGAGTCTGTGTGGCTTACGAATCAATAATTAGTCGTCGGAGCCAAACACGCAAGTGCAGGAGGAACAAACTGGAGTTCATCATCTGTATCATCTTCCACCATACTAGACGACATCGAAAAAACTGGTTTCGAGAGGAAGAGAAAAGAAAAGAAAAGAAAAAAAGGGTGGGGATATGGTTGTACGGTATCTGACTTGTGTGTGTGCGGTTGGCGTTCGTAAAGCCGCACAAACCGGGGAACTTGAATCGCGGTTAGCGACACTTTTTTCCAAGCCCCTACAACATGATACCGGTACGGGTAAAGTTGAAGAACCCACCGCCGTGACGGTCGACAACCACGAGACAGATGTCGTATCCCACATCCAGAATTTTAACATTATACCAGTAACACCGGCCACTGAGAAATAACTAATAATACCTTAAAAATAGTTACGTTAAAAGTGCCAATTTCTGAAATTATAGGACAGGGATTACCGAGTGATAATATGTGATCGTTCATTTTGATAGTACCGTAGCGATCTCAATGATAGTCTATAAAATATAGCATCAGTCGTAACAGAAGGCCCGTCATGGCTCTTTCGGGTTTTTGAGTTCAATAGTATCGAAGTAATAGGGAAAGAGTAGATTGAACATCTTGTATCGAAGAAAAATTCCCGGTTATAATTACAACACCGACTCGTAAAGTACTGTACAGTACCGTGTTGTGCCCCGAGTTTTACTTGGCCATTGACTGGATAACTGCCGCATGGGATTCGAGATGGGAGGAGTGAGCTACTCTTTCCTACGAGCTTTTTAGTATGAATTCGGAAGTAGCGACTTCCAATACAATAAGTTATTCTCCACCCCATTCACCAAAGCCCCGATCCGAAGAGAAAACCTGCCTCTCAGTAGCCTGATCACTTCACAATGTTAAGTCTAGCACTCCTGTATTTATTATTTAAGGATGTCTTCCAGCTAAACCCAGAACTACCCTATCCTAGACTCGCCCTTGTGGATTCTGGCGAGATATCACCCTTTGATGTGATACTCAACTATATGAACTTTTCAAATCTCTCGCTTCGGGTTTCGGGTTCAAAAAACTCAGTGTGACGAGAGAAGTGACCCGTAACCTTAACAAATGATTGAAAAACTGGGGTAACCAAGATTCGGTGGAAGTCTGGTGCATCTCTCATAACAACACACTATGGATCGTCGAACCCTGGTACTCGTACGAGTACTACTGTAGCTCACGCCCTCAGTTCCACTCCCCCCATTCACCCGACAGATGGGATCAGGGTTAGGTGTTGAACACGACATAAACATCGATGCTCGATTTGGCAGAGCGTCGGATTCAGGGATATTTTCAGCCTCATTCCTGCTATGAGACATATTTTGTGCGCGCGCCGTGGAAGCCTATAACTTCGCACTCGGTGAACCACCGCCTCTCGCTCCGTGTTGTGAAAGAGAGAGAGAGAGAGGGCGCCGCTACATCTATCCCGACCAGATCTCCGAGCTCAAGTCGCCGCTTCCACCCCTCTCCCTTTACCGCATCACTACCAACCACGCACCTCTCACACCCACCACCCACCACCCCGGACACGATTGTCCACCGCCATGGGCTCAACCACCATATTGAATCGCCCGCAGGCTGCTTCCGCATTGTCAGCTTCACCAAAAGTTGTCAAAAACAACAAATCTCTCGCTAGCAGTTCGGCCGCTCCTTTAACCTATGGTTGTAGTAAGTCTCCTATTTCCTCTTTGGTCTATTAAAGCTATCTCTTCAGCTTCATTGGATGCATCGGAAAATTGACTCCTATTCCCCTCCTCGCGCAATAGACCATATCGAAAAGCCTCTACAGGGCCCTACGGAGGGTAATAAGATGAGGGTCCTTTACGGTAGCGCCACTCGTGTGGCTTTGGATTCAAGCCGGGCACATGCGCAAACTTGTGAGAAGTGCAAGTTTCTCATAACGAGAACCTTCCTTTGCATGCAATGTCCGAGTATATACTGTCCCAAGGACGCAGAAGCTCACTATAAGGAAAAGAATCACCGTTTTGGTTAGTTGGTCCGGACTTGACGAAGTAGGAAGCTTATTGCCCAAATCCTGATATTACTGCTAGGTATTGACTCGAGAAGCGGCCATGTTTACTGCTTCCCTTGCCAGGACTTCATATATGATCCAGCATTGGAGAAAATTAGGGTGGAAAAGGAGGTAGCTATGGAGGGGGGTGGTATGTTATCATCTCCCCGTAGATTTTACCTCCCACCACTTCACTTTGCGAGAGCTGAGTGGCTTCTGGTGGTGCTGACGGGTTGAATGTGTGTAGCTCGGAAAAGGAGGCGATTGGATGATATCAAACCCTCACCCGAAGATCTTAAGTACATCGAGTCGAATACAACACTTGCGCCCTGCAGAGCTACGGGACTCAGGGGGTTTCTCAACATGGGATCTACCTGCTTCATGAGTGTGGTATTGCAGAGCCTGATACATAATCCGCTGGTCCGGAATTTCTACTTAGCAGATGGTCATAAACCTAAGGAGTGTGCCCAAGCCAACTGCATGAGTTGCGCCATGGAGGAAGTATTTTCAGAGTTTTTCGCCACAGATAAAACAGATGGGTTTGGACCAGTCAACCTCCTCACAACTTCATGGAAGTGCGAGCAGGTATGGACTTTGGCCCTTGTGGACCTCATTTGGTTTTATTCGCTAACCGATATGTGCAAATTTAAAAGACATTAGCTGGGTATCAACAGCAGGATGCTCATGAATACCTCCAGTTTCTCCTGAATCAGCTACACGCAACCAATGGTGGGAACACTGATACCAAGACGGAACAGTGCAAATGCATTATCCATCGCGCCTTCTACGGTAACCTCCAGAGCGATGTGACGTGCGAGGGGTGTCAGAATGTCACAACAGCCGTCGACCCGGTTATGGACCTAAGCTTGGACCTGAGAAAAAAGGATAAGAGGAAGCTAGCCACCCCGAAGACTGAGGGGGATGGAGCCATGCAGACTCTACAGGAATGCCTTGAACGGTTTACAAGCACAGAAAAGCTGGGGATGAATGAGTATAACTGCGAAAATTGCTCTGGTCATCAAGAAGTGGCTACAAAGCAGTTAACGGTCAAAAGATTACCACCGGTACTGTGCATTCAACTCAAGGTAGATTTTTCCAACAGCTAAGTTAGATTATGCTTGATGCTCACTCTGGGATAAGCGTTTTGAACATGGCTCTACAAAATCATCAAAAATTGACACCAAAATACGATTCCCCATGCAGCTGGACATGGCCCCCTATACGACACGCGCAAAGCGAAAAGCAAAAGACGGTTCTACAGATTGTGGTCCTAAATCTAGCCTTAAAGGCCATGGGCCTTACCTATACGACCTTCTCAGTGTCGTTGTCCATACAGGCCAGATAAACTCTGGTCATTATATAAATTTTTCACGTGAAAATGGACAGGTTTGTCATATCATTCTCCCTCCAAATTCCTAAAGATACCCCATCTACTTCACTCCCTCCCTTCCTACCGTTTTTTTATCGTTTCCTTGTTTTGATTCCTCAATGCTCACAAGAAGGGTGCTTGCTTGTCTTTTGCACGAGTACGAAGGGACAAAAGTGGTTTCGGTTCGATGATAGTGTGGTCACACTTGCTACTGAGAAGGATGTTCTCTCAGCGAAGGCATATCTGCTTTTTTACATAATCCGGAGCTTGACCTAAGGTATTGTCGGCATCGAACGGGGATATGGGAAGGAGAGGAGTGAATGGCATTGTTATTTGGACGGGGTTTGTCAACAACACAAACTTGCCGTGGTTGGGATGATGAATTTTCTCAAAGTGGATTACATTTTTAATATTGTTTCAGGGTGTTTAAATTAGGCTGTTTGTATATTCTAAGGCTGTCGGGCTATGGCGTCGGGGTTATTGTATGTTTCTATTTTATCTTGTGCTGTTGCTTTTGAGTCACAGCGCGGTAAGTTGGTTGCTTGTTTTATCGTGAAGGGTTTAAGTGTGCATACTCTGGCTGCGGGATACTCTCCAAGTTTGCTGGATACCAAGAGGGGGTGCTATTGTGTTACAATCGTTTAGACCGGGAAATTTTACTAAATGTTCCCCATCCATGGAAACATAAGCCAATGACCAGATATAAAGAAAAGCTCTGCTGGTATGATACCAACAGAACAAACATCTAAATGTTCCTCCACCCATCGTATCGTACATCTGAGTATCCTAGCCTCTCTATGGACTCGGATGGTTAGCCAAAAACCACTTCCTCTGCCCACCGCAATCCTCCATCCTAACTTTCCCCTCGGTCTCCAACTTTTCCAGAACCTGCACAGCACCCTTTGCTGCTGCGAGGCGCAATTCCGGCCCAATAGAGGTATAAATCACACCGACAATATCTAGTGCCGTCAACCCCGAGCCTCCTACGGGATTCCTCTTCTCCTCCAAGACCTTGACAATCTGCTCCTCCCTGCGCATCCGGTGGCGGATATACTCCGCAATCTTCCCCCTGGCATCTCCAATCAGCGCGCCATGGCCGGGATACGCGACACCCGCCATACCCTGATCCAGCATCCTCTGCAAACTCTTCATGTAAGCCCCGAGGTCCGAGAACACCGTCGTCCCGTGCCCCAGGACGTTATCGCCCGTGAATATCGCGTCCTCCTCCTCCAAGAGGAAGCACATGTGGTCGAAGGAGTGACCGGGCGTATACAGCGCTCGAACGCTGGCACCCTCGACGGAGAATACCTGACCATCGTGGATATCCTCCTGCCCGTCGTCCGGGGAGTTCTTGTAGTACCTTGTGCTCGGGCTCACCTTGCGGAGGTCGCGGGAACCGGTTACGTGGTCGAGGTGCCAGTGCGTTAGGAGGGCTTGCGTTACGATGGCATTCTCGCGCGCCAGCACGTCCGAGAGAGTTTCTATCCAGATGGGTATGCCCTGGCCTGTGTCTATCAGGAGACGTTCGCGACCGGTGCCAAGGAGGTAGGTGTTTGTGCCTTGGAGGTGGTACTGTATAATACTTGGAGGGGTTGTGGGTTAGTCGAGGGCTGGGGGTTGGTTGGTTTGCGGGGGGAGGGAGGGAGGTATGAGATCATACCTTTGAGGGGTTCCCGCCCAGGATGCGAATTACTCTTGGTGTTAGCCGCTCGACGGCGGGGAGGTGCGGGAGTGTTGCTAGTTGGGCTTCTAGGTACTCGTTGTGCCCACGAGCAATCGCCATCGCAGTTTTCGGTAGGGTAGTTTGGAACCGAAGAGGGCTGCTGTTCGTGAAAAAGCCAGCTGCAGGAGGAGGGGGGGAGGGTATTCGATTAGTTTTCGTGTCTCCCTAGCAGGACAACTGAGCAAAACCTTATGTCACCGCAGGCACCCCAGTAAGCACTACAAGGCCAGCAAGACAGAAGCCGTAGCTATGTACTCGAGTAGATGCAATGAAAGAATGGTGATGACAATGGTTTGCTTCTGCCGTGGGATTTTGACGTTGTCAATTATTTCCTCCCCCAGTCGCAATAGCTGCACAACTAGTGAATAAGGAAGCGTTCAGGATCCTTCACGAGCGCTTTCCTTTTCCAAAGCTCTTTGTATCATATGTAGGGACTGGAGGGACTCTGACACGTTTACCCATACATACCTTCAAGTAATTATAACCTCGGCATCGGGACAGAGTACTTTGGATACCGTAGAATTCCGGAAATAAGGCGCATCCCGAAATAAGGCGCATCTAGCAACGGCTAGTAGTACAGTACTAGGACAAAAATATTTCCGAAAAATCATCGTAGGTGGCAACCATACAACGTCAACTGACAACTTCGTTTGCCAGAATGCCACCCAAAACGAAAGAGAAGACTCCAGGAATTGGGCGCTTGTCAGATATTGAGAAAGGGGAAATCATTGGACTCTGGAACGTTTACCAAAGTGTGGCAAAAATCTTGCCACTCTTGACATATCCAAGACAGGACTCGGTTGTACAAAAGTTCATCCAGTGGTGGCAGCAAAGAAACGACCACCATGACCATCCAACACCTGGGTGCCCCCCAAAAGTAAACCAGCATAATCAGTGAAGGCTCCTGAGAGTAGCGAAAGCAGATAGACAGCAGCCTCTGTGCGAGTTAACGTAAATGGTGACTCCACATGTCAGTATACAAATGGTTAAGAGGGTTTTAGCAAAAGCAGGCATTAAAAATTGGTGAGCGAAGAAGAGGCTGAAATTGACAGAGGACCAGGCTACTGCATGCTTGTGCTGGGCCTTATGCTATGCAGATTGGACTGAAGAGGATTGGAAGTGGGTGATATGGAGCGATGAATGTAGTATAGAAAAGAGTAAGGATTCACAAAATGCATGGGCTTTCCGTACCCCATATGAAAAGTGCGATAAGGAATGTATTCAAACCTATGAAAAGGGGCTAGGAGTAAAGTTGATGGTTTGGGGATGTTTTTGAAGTCTATACTATGGGACCTTTGTTCCATTAATTGTCCAGTCTGTAGACCGATTTGTCTACCTTGATCTTTTATGCAACCTTTTACCACTGGTACTTGAGTGGGTTCAGCAAATGACCAGTGCCGAGCCTATCTTCATGGAAGATAACTCTGGGGTCCACAAGAATGAGGTAGTAAAGGAATGGGAGGAGGAGCAAGGAGTAGATGTGATGGAATGGCCGGCATATTCACCTGATTTGAACCCAATCGAATATCTTTGGCGTCGACTGAAGGAATGAATGCAAACAATGTATCCCGAGATTGGGGATACAAAAGGAGGGCCGGAGGCAGTTCGGAGATGTCTTGCCGAGGTTCTTCCACTCGTATGGGATAAGCTAGAGTCAAACTATCTGGAAAGTTTGTGGAGAAGTATGCTCTCTTGAGTTTGTGCAGTCATCGCTGCCAATGGGTAGTATATGAAGTATTGATTTTTATTTTTATTTTCTTTATATAAATGTATTCTGCTACCTGCATTGAATATTCATACTTATTCTAGTACGCTTTCTATATCTGGTTCGGCTGGGGGAGGAGGAAATGTTGTTACCGCTAAGCAGTATGAATGGGAATTTTTGATGGTTCAGAAATATTTTTGTCATTTGACTGTATAAGACATAGGGGACTGATTATTTCCTAAATCATAATACTGATAAAGTAAGATGTAGATATGTTATAAACAAAATAATATGAGATTGTTGAGCTTTCAGGTTGATGAGTTTCCTCTGTACTCCTACTTAGGTAATGTTAGACTTTAATATCAATATGTGTAATAGATGGTTTAGGCTCAGAAACCTATACCAGAATCTCATCACCTCCTCTGTAACGTGTTCACAAGGTGCTAATCATGTTATCGGTAATAGTTACGATAGTTGGCAGGTGGCCTGCTCTTCCAGAGAGGAGGCGAGAGCTGAGAACTAAAGGAGGCTTCAAGGGTGTACTGAGGAACAAAGAAGTAACCATTCAACCAAGTATATTGAAATACTGTCTGTCGAAGTCTGCCTTTTCTATCGTAGAAACAGGCGGTCTTTAAATACACAATTCTGTTCATGTCTGGCATGAACAAAACTAATCAAAGGTATCAATTGATACACTTTGGTAAAACTAATAAAGTATCAAAGCGATACTTAAAACAAAACATAAAATAAAACTAAGTATCAAACGATACTTAAAACAAACCAAGTATCAAAGCGATACTTAAAACATAACACAAAACAAAACTAAGTATTAAACGATACTTAAAACAAACCAAGTATCAAAGCGATACTTAAAACATAACACAAAACAAAACTAAGTATTAAATGATACTTAAAACAAACCAAGTATCAAGGCGATACTTAAAACAAAACATAAAACAAAACTAATAATCGAGTACCTGTACCGGTTACATTCCCCAAAACAAAACAACTGTTTAAACAAACAAAACCTAATAATCATCAAAAGCAGAGTCTGAGAAACTAAAGGCTTTAGTTTCTACTATCAGCTCTTCATTATAAGTGTCACACCAGGGATAAGAAGAAATCCTAAGAAAACATTTAGACTCAAAGAAATGCAGATCACAGTAGTCACGAATACCAGATTCGTGCTGTACATCAATTCAAGCGTTGTCACAATCAGGACAGTAGTCTATCTAGAGGATTTTGAAGTAGTCTTCAAGTTTGATAATATTGCAGTTCAACAACAGTCCAACAATCTGTTGTCGCAGCCTCACATTGAGTTCTACATAGTTTGACATCATTATGGTATTTGGATGGTGGATGGTGATGAGATAAGGTTGTTGAGAGCTTACTCCATAGTTTGATTTTCCTCATCACTGCTTTCGAATTCCGATTCAAAATATGGTGCCCAAAACCCATCTCTTGCTTTGAGTTCCATCTGCCATCATTCAGTCTCTGGCATTGTTGGTGTCCAGTAAATTATGATGTAATTTATTGTTGGAGGGAGGGAGTTGTTTGGCATGTTGTCTTTCCACCATTCGTTCACCGTATCCATAGCATGCTCTAGTTCTTCTAGTAGTTCCCAGCTGTTTTCGCTTGTTGGGTATTATTTCCATTTGACTAGGAACTGATCATTTCCATGCCAAAGATGGTGGTCTTGGATTTCTTCAACTTCCCATTCATCTTTCTTATCAATGATGATAGGCACAGGTAGAGAGTGGGTTCTTCCAGGGAATTTGGAGTCGTCATTTGGGTGGAATAGCTTGACAGCAGAGGTGTGGAAAACTGCAGTATTGCGGCGGTACATGCGTCCATCTATCTGGACAGTGTAGTTTTCTGTATTCTCGTTAAAGGATAAGACCTTGAAGGGTCCTCACAATCGGGGTTGTAGTTTCTTGATGCGTCCAACATTGGTAATAAACATATTTCCATGTACTATGACCATATCACCTGGTGGAATAGGGACATGTTTGCGTTGTCGTTTCTGAGCAGTGGTGGAGCTTTGAAATCGGGCAGCTTTAACAGCTTGGAAGGCATCATTCCGAATTGCTTGATGGTGGTTTAGGTGGTCATCGGAGGCGGGGACTGAGAAATTCTTGAATAGAGTTGTAGGTAGGAGAGGGTATTAGTGGCCAAAGATTGACTTGTATGGAGACATTTCCAAGGTGTCTGAATATCCAACATTGATATAAGCGGCGAGCTCAATGAGGGCTGGTTCCCAGTTGGTTTGTCGTTCATTGATCATGTTCCTAATTCCGGTCTTGACTTCGCGGATTTTTGTTCTGCTTGGCTATTAGTCTCATGATCTCCAGGAGCAGCCATAATATGGTTGATTCCGAGGAAGATCAAGGTTTGCTTCCAGAATCTGGCAGTGAAACGGGGATCAGCATTACTGACAATAGATAATGGGTATCCATGAGGGGTGAATAGGTATTATTGGAGGTTATTCCAGGTGTCTTTGGAGGAATCGGTAACCTTCATTGGGATCAACCATGTGTATCCAGAAAACCAATCCACAGCTACCAAGATAGTGTTATATCTGGCAGACTTGTTGAATGGTCCTGCGAAATCGATGGCATAGGATTCGAATATTTCACAAGGTAGTTGGAGTGTCTGTGCTTTTCCTTCCGGTAGTTGTGTTCGTTTCTTATTTGCCTGGCAGAGTTCACATTGTTTAACCAAATCGCTGAAGTCCTTTCATATTTCAAACCAGTAAACATATTTTGAGGCATCTTGGAGGTTGCGGTCAGCCCTATAGTGTCCTTTGTTGTGGATTTCAGTAATGACATATTCTCTAATAGTTATTCCATTGCACATATGGCCTTTCGGGATATATAGCCAATGTTCACCATACCGGATGCTAGTATAGACCATTCCATTGGATATGTTATAGGGAGCAAGATCTCCATGTCTGGAGCTATCCATAGCTTTGAAGTAGATCGGGTCATGGCGATATCCTGCTATCATTTGGCTTTGGAAAGAGGAGGTTAATTCTTCCGTAGTTGATCTAACATCTCATTCATCCTCAATGAGAGATCCTCTTGTCGGTTCGATAGGGGCTTCCTCTTCTTCAAAGGTTTTATAGAGTTGTTGGTGATGCTCGGGAATCGTGAGAGGCATAACAGAAACAATGGTTTCATTGTTGTATACTCGTAAGGGTCTACCGTATAGTGGTCGTGAATTGATTATGGGAGGAGAGGATGGCAGTGCTGACTGTGAGGGATGAAGGTAGGATATTGCATCCATGTAGGCTGCTGCTTATTCGAGTTCTTCAAGACCTTGGTATTGTTTTGGGGCAGGATTAAGAGTAAGGGGAGGTTGGGTCGATTCATCTTCATCCATTATTTCTTCTGTGCCTTCTGCGGCATCGAAGCTGGTATTTTTGGAATCGTCAGCAGACATATAGTACGGTCGCTGGTATCTGTTGCCAAATTTAATTTCAGTCTGGTGAAAGGGGCAGGTATCGAGGTAACAGTGGGACCAGTGGAGTCTGCTTTGTTGAAGTTCGTGAGAAGGTGTGCTGTGGAGGGTGCAATTGTCTTTCCACTTGTCATCAATGTCCTTTCCTCGTTCTGTTCTGGCAGCTCTGTACATGGTATAAGAGAAAGGATTAGAGGGGGCGGCAGAGCTGGCAGTAGCCATCGATAGTTCTTGTTCATTGGAGGTGTCATCTG